AATCTTTTTGACTATTATTTTGAAATAATTGTATTTCTCTGGAAGTAGATTCATGTTTGCTTATCTCTTCTTCAATGGATTCGACGAGGCAGTTATCAGAGTTTATATTTTTGCATCGAATAATTATTTCAAAATTGCTGGTTACTTCTGTTCGACAACATTTTTTATTTCATTGCCATTCGTCAATAAAGAACAACCCGTAATTCACCGAGATAGATCGTGAAATTGAAACTATAAAGCTATCCAGAATCTCTTGTATTTTTCAAAAAAACCCCAATGGTTTAATAACAAATTTATGTAGAATATTGCCAACTCACAGGGAAACATTGAAAGAATAGGAGCAGGACTGAATATTTTTGGCAGCATGTACTCTTTTAAATTTTGTCGAACTGCTCTTTGGACAGAAATTTGATTACAAAAAGTTGAGGTGTTGTGAACTCTCTCCCCTAATATTCAAACTGACCGAATGTGAGCTGTGATTTCAGGGTACCTTCATCAATAAGATTTATTGATTTCTCTACAAGTTTCGTCTTTCGTTAATGTTCATACTTAGCATGCACTGTCATGCATTTACTGTCTCACAAATGCTTATCAAATAAAAATCATATTGCACCGAAATTGATAGTTAATAGTCAGGCATTATCATAACATATCCTTAGTGCTGTTTAGTTTAATCTACGAGCTCTCAGAAAATTATGTATCGCTACTTTATTCCACGTATTCAAAACGCCCCGATAACAGGCATAGGCAAGCTTTTAGACCAATTACAACGTTGAGTTTCACGCGTGCGTCTTTCGGCTTAAGTTTTTCAATTGAGAATAAATATCTCATCAGTTTGAAATGATTTGAATTTTGAATTATTCAGATTATTCTGGACATTAGAGCCATCATAAACTACTCTCGGAGTTCTGGACCACAAGTGATGACAGATGTTTATTAGGTTACGAGCATTGATTTCGAAGTTTCAACTTGCACTTGTCACCAAGGAAGAACAGGTTGTATGTGTGAACATATCAGTTGGGATTGTTGTTTTGTGAACTCTGATAACTTCATCAGAAAGATTAATAATGAGAAAAATGTATTTCTGTACTGCCACAGGCAATGTGCCCCTTCAAACTGGCTCAAACTATTCCTAAATGATATAGTAGCACTAGTGGGCCATCATCATCCTGTGGTGGCAATGAAGAAATAATATTATCCACAAAAATATATTCCGAAAATAATGAGCCATTTGTTGATGGACCATTTCCTGATGTGAGAGCGGAAGGAATATTAAATGAGGAACACTGTATTTCAGATGGTTTTGAAAGTATTAATGTGGTGAATGAAATATTTTCTCAATATCTGAAACGTCAACCAATACAATAGAAATTTCAAAAACCTTGACTGTTTTTGTTGGAAAGTTGAGAGACATCAAAACTGTATCTGGATTTGCAAGTGCATGTCATACCGGCTTCTCTCCAGGTAGTTTTTTTGTGAGATATTATACTCCCCCTTTTTTATTCATTATTCACTTGAATTCATAATCACTATAATTATTAGGAATGATAAATCGAAGTAATATATTGAGGTCTAGAATTCCTATCCAACTAACTTCACTATCAAGGCGTAAAACCTGCCATTTAGGTAGAAATAGTTGTGTTGGTGGGCGCCCTTCGCTACTACCAAGAAGGGGAATTTCAAAATTAGAAAGCCAGCTTTCCCGAAATTGGAACAAAAATAAATGCATAGTTACAGCAATTTGTACTAAATTTCATTTTCCAGTTCCTATCACATGCTTCATCAATTGCTAATCAATATTACCTGACACATGCGAAATAATTCATTGATCATCATTCGATGTATGACTTGGTGATTCTGAATCGCCAAGATCCGCGATTCGAATTTACCGCCAAGGCCAAAATCGACTTGATTGGTCAAAAAGCTTGTCTATGCCTGTTATCGGGGCGTTTTGAATACGTGCTACTTTATAATACTTTACTAAGTGAGTTTGAGGTGAATACTGACTGAACGGTTATTTCAATATCAAAAAGTGAGTATTAAATAGTAAAAAAGTCTTTAGTGTATAAAACGACCTGATATTGAATTGTTAACCTTATAAAATCACTGACTGTGTAGTCTACCGTGCTTCAGTTTCGGTTGAGATTTGGCGGAGGGGTTGCCCTTAGGCACCGCCCCGACTATTCTTACTCTCGTCACTTGCCGGTTGTCGCTGAATTGCGGCGGAGGAGCCACCACTACTTCGCCAAAGTTCGCCGAATTTCGGTTCTCTCCGAATTCGGGGGGAGGGGGCAGGCAGAACTCGTCTTTCTCGTCGTTTTCGTTTTCGATAGGGGGCGGGAGTTGGGCTAAGGACACTGCATGACGTTTGAGCAGACCTGAGAACCAATGAGTTATTTTACTTTCGTGAGAATTCTGGATAAATCACTTAGGGTAAAGTCAAAGGATGAGATGTATTGTGTTTTGTTCGAACATCTCTGATTGAAGAAGAACCAACAAACTAATCACTGATACCTTTATAATAATACCTTATCAATCATACTAGAGTCTAGCCATAGCACCAGTGCAAGAATATTTCGCCTGGTGCGCAGGTCGCTGGGCGCGAGAAACAGAAAATTTCGTTGCTTGCTCGCTCGCTCGCCGAGCGCGAGAAGCGAGGCGAGAAGGGTTGCGGCCGTGCGGCGCTGGACAAATATTGGAACGAAACGATAAAGATCATCATTGGTAAAAGAATACCCAATACCCTTAATTGGCGGCGAATCATGTATCACGGGAAGGAGATTTGTTGGTTGCCATTCGAACGGTTTCCAGAATATGTACTCATTTATCGTTTGACCTCCAAGTCTAGCGTTTCACACTTTAAAAATGCAATCGAACTGTTGTGCAGAATGTTCGAAAACATTCAGTTCTTTTCAAAATCTCAGAACTCATTGTTTGAAGTTACATCCAACAAAGATAGCCCCGTCGAAGAAAAGTGAAAAAGTGTTTTCCTGTGATAAATGTGGACAACAGTTTATAAATCAGAGGGAGTTAAAAATTCATACAAAGAAATGTAACAATTCATCTACAAATACTATGAAAGAAACAGGTAATTCCACTTGTCCAATGTGCAGTGAAAAATTATTGAGTAAACAATTCGAGAGACATTTGGAAATTTCACAAGACTTAAACGTTGTTATTATAATAATGGGTTTGGTAAGGGAAACACTTTGTATATCAATACATGAATAATAACATCAATTTCATAATTTGATACGAATCTGTATATTCTCAGAATATTCGAAAAGAATATTCTTGTGTATCTATGTCAAATTGAATGTTCATAGAATATTCGTTGCAGGATGAAAATATTTTATGATCATTTTAAGGACATTCTGAAATAAGTATATTTGAACATTGTCATTCTAGAATATTCCATTTCAGAAGCTCATTGGAACATATTTTCAGAATATCATTAGTATATTCGCAAAGTATTCCATGAATGTTCACAATATTCTGAAAATATTATTTAATGAACATTCTGGAATATTATATCCCAGGAGCTTCTAGGAATGTACTTTCATGTAATACTATCAGAATATTCGCATGGAACATTCCATAAATATTCGCAACATACTGAGAACTTTCTATGCATATTCTTCAGAATATTATTCTAGAAGATGACATTTTCGCAGCTTGTAAGAATATTCTGAGAATATTCGTGCTATCTGGGGATATATATATGTAATAATTATGAACAGTACAGTGTTAATTCAATTTGAATAAATTGATTTGAGGTGTGTCACGATTCTAGGGATCACCCTTAACATGGTATCAACTAGGAAAGCAGTTGTCTAATGTATCATTTCACAACAATGACTTATTTGTTTTTGTTTCGCTGCAATTTCTCGCGCCCAGCGACATGCGCACCAGGCGCAATATTCTCGCACTGGTGCTATGGCTAGACTCTAGTATCAATCATCACCCTATTCAAGAATAAGTCTACAAAATGACTTAAGGTAACTTTAATGTGGCATGAATTTGAAGAATTAATAGCACATGTACCTAAATCATATTCTTGCCTGATTTACTATATTCAGGGTATCCCAAAATTGCTGGGACACTGAGCTACCACGTTTAATGAAGGTCCAAATAAGTTGTTTGGAACCAATTTATTTGTATATTAAAATGTACCGTTTGTCCGTGAGGAGAGTTCTAAGTTCACATAAATAGTTGTCGAGATTTTGTTGACGAGATAACAATTTTCGAACATTTTATCTATTTTCAGCTTGTTAATAATGATATTTCAAGAACAGCTCCACTGACAGAAATTTTGAGGAGAGGGGATATCACTATTGATGGATTTTCCTCCCCAAGGTCTTCTACTAGTTGATCAACAACATTTACTTCATAAATTGTACGTAATCAACCAAATGATTCGCTTGAATTGTATTAAAAAGATAGAAATAATCAACTTATAGAACTGGAGAAGGATAGAATTGAGTTGCGCTCTGACGCCTCGTAGATATCACTCGTCTTTCCTCAGAGAAATATCCTTGGACCTAAATCATTGATAATTTTTGTAGTTGTTGACAATTTTCTCACATATACCCTGAGCTGAGTATATATCAGTAGATTATCTTCATGTATCAATAAGGCAAGTGGAAAAGGCGAAAATCTAGTATAGCTCATATCGGGCAAGTTTCATTGGATGCACAAATATTAAGACTACATTCTGATATGCGCTATTTCATCCAAAGTGAAAATTCAATGCTAAGTTGAATCAGTAGATTGGCATTTCATAATAGTAACAAGGTATACATCAGAAGTATCCCTCTTCAGTTATTCAATCTAGGAGGGGACTATAGCGAATTTCCAGAAGTTCATATTTGAAGTCAAAACATACCTATATTTTGAGGACGTTGTGGTTTTGTTGACTGCAGTGCCAGGTTATTACTCTCAGCACTTATTCCCTCATTATACTCCAAACTAGTACACGTGGTGATTTCCTGATCAGAGCTCACACCAGAGGAACTATTATCGCCATCTTCGAGAACTGCATCGGACTCCTTTTGCTTCTTCAAGAGATTGTCCGGGTAGGACTTTGAAGATTTCAGTCTGGACCTGCCTCTTTGGATTTCTTCCACGCTGAAACTGTGCGGCACCGAACTACTTCCTGAACTGCTACCACTGAAAAATAATATCAACAAAAGCTAGATTACCTCTAATTGAGAAATGCAAATAATTTGGTTTGTTATTGATTTTCTGGAAGGGTATACCTATACATTACAGTTCAAAAGTAAACTCTTCGAAAAGCTATCCACAATTCTCATAACAATTGGACATATTTCGGAGCTATAAAGTGTGACCTAGATAAGGTTGCACAGCATGGGGATCTTGAAGGATATATGAATTCGAAAATTTTCAAAATTGTTTGAAGTTTTTTAGTTTTGTTAAAAGTTAATTTTTGGAAAATAAATTTTTTTCTACGTTATTATTACTTGTCCATAGCAACTTTTGATGAGATTTAAGGTAGTTATATTGATTTCTCTACGCGCCTTTCGTATTTGTAGAATCATCATCAACTTTTTGTATCATACAATGTGGTTTGAATGCGTTTCGACCTAATTTTAGTCATCAGCAATGTTTTTTCTAAATTCCAAAGAGGAAATAACATCAGTTTCACTTATTTCTAATCATTCGGTATTGAACATTGATGTATAAGTAGGTACCTAACTACAGTTATTTAATGCTGAAAAGTAGTGAATTATTCAATGCAGTGCTTCACATATTGGTTCATATTGATGGATTCTTAAAAAAATGACATCAATAACAAATGTTCAAAATTATAACGATTATTTGTAAACAGAGATATATCCTCTCTTCATACAGTTGCTTCTGATATATGTCTAAGCATTTCTGGGCTAATTCCAGGTTCATTCGGGTTCGAACAATTACTGTTCTAGAACTGTCAGGAGTTTGCGCAGTAGAATCGGTCGCGTTCGGGTTTTGTGGAACTGTTCTAGGACTGACTTTTTGCGCGTTCGGGTTTTTCCAGAATCGTCCTGGGACGGTCCTAGTACTATCCGAAACCAGTACCTGCTCTCGAGCATGAACCGTTCTAGGATTATTTTTGGCGCATGCTCATTTCTTTTAGTTTTCGATTCTGTCTGTTGTAGCGTAACGTCAAAATGATTTATTTTTGTTTATTCTACTGTTTATTGCTCTTTTCAATATTTTCTCAATCTTATGGAGTTAGTACATTCATTTGATAGTAGTAGTTCTTCATTTTCAGGAAACAGTGGTAAAGGAGTTACTTGCTGAAGTTGCTGAAAATATTGTATCTAATCTGATAATTCTCTAACTTTTGTTATATAAACTGAAAAATGGAGGATTATGTTAGGGAGACTTTGCCGTTATATTCAGATACGCAATTCATTGAACATTCCAGGTTGGTTTCGAAATTCATGTAGGTACAAGGGACGAAACATATTGAAAATCTAGCTACTAATGCTATGATGGAATATATTCACCATTTCTCCACAGAGGGTTTCCAGAGATATTGTGAATAGATTCAAAGGAGGAGGAGTTTGAGGCTTCAGAATATTATTCTAATGAAGATACAGGTGCCAAACTATTGTTTTTTTCGCAAATTCTGAATAGAGGTTATGTTCTCAGAGGTTCTCGTCTGCCGTGTTCGGGTTTTCATAATTTGTGAACCGTTCTGAAACAGTCCTAGAATTCGAAACGACTGCGCACTAGTTCTACGCAGTTCGAGAACGATTCTTGAACAGTTCTGAAATCGGAACCCGAATGAACCTACTATTGAAAGCTTCAAAAACACTGTTCCTTGGTTCTTCTTTGTTATCAAAATTATCTGCATAAACGAAAAAGTTTATTTATCAAGATAATTCGTGTAAGAATACAGTAACATGAAACAATTTCAAGCGCTGTATTGAATAATTCATGAAATATTTTTTCCTGCTTTTCAGTATTGAATAACTTCTTCATCAATATTACCTCTTTGAAATTTCGAATAAACATGAAAGATGGCTAAAACTCGGTCAAAACAAGTTCAAACCACTCTGAGTAATAGATGGTTGGATTCCGAATAAAAAACTATCAGAATCTGTGAACAAGTAATCAGGACGGTATTTGAAAAATAAAAGTTGATGATGATTCTACGAATACGAAAAGTCTCGTAGAGAAATCAATATTACTATGTTAAATATCATCAAAAGTTGCTATGGAATTATATTTTTAGATTTTCTGTATCTCTAATAATTGCGTAGAAAAAAAAACGATTTTGTAACATTATCTTGGTCACACTGTATAGGGTAGGATAATTAACGTAGACCATATATAACCAGTTTTAGAACTTCTAGTTGGATTGAGAACTTGTAAAAATTAGTATGCTGTTATACTTGATCATTCCCGATCTACCTTAAATATTTATAGTCCTCAAGATATACAGTCTGTGCCAAAAGTCGGCACCAACTTTCTAATTACTTGAGTATTCCCTATACCTAACTCAGACCTACATCGAGATATTCAATGAAATAATAAATAAAGAAATCGCAAGACATTTTCCACCATGTATTTATAAGGTGGTGTTATAAAGTAAGAGCCCAGGGCCCTCAGGCATAACTCATTTTCTTAAGTACAAAATATGGGGCTTCAAGTAGTGTTTATATGTACAGGGAATGGTAACATAAGAGCTAAGTTGGTTAGACGGCCAATTCACAGATACCAGGGTTGAAAGGTGGAAAAAAATGGGGCTAACTTTACTTAAATTCTAATGATTGGTTTTTATATATGTTACATGAGATATTATTACAAAATGATATTCAACACTGCCAGACACTTTCCTCCGATTTTTGCTGTCGATATTCGTTTTCAGACGCTAGCTCTTTCATTTTGGGCAATAGAAAAGAACTACAAAAACACGTTTTTTCAATATTGTATGTTGTTCAATCTGGATATATCAGATTTTCGATACAACATTTCGTTCATCAAGGGACACCCTCAGAAATAGCAATAGTGGGAAAACAAAATGCTCCGTTTTCTATATACAGGATATCATCATCATCATCATCATCATCAAATATGCTTTATTGTCAGAAGAAATAGTTCTTATCGACAAAGTCATTGTATAGGTATTACAAAGTAAAATATTAAGAATGTTGAAAATATTAAAAATATTGAAAATATTAGAAACATTGAAAAAAAAAATTGAAACATTAAAAACATCAAGAACGTTATGGTACAAATACAGACATAATATAATGAAATGTGCAGATGAAGCCACAGGATGCAAACATATGAAATCAATCCTAAAATATAGAGGCAAGCGTATTTTAATGCTAACATAAAAAGGATGAGTGGATAGTAATTCTTTTAATTTTAATCTACATGATTGAATTTCTCGTAGATGTATTGGTAAGCAATTATAAATTTTTAGTCCATTATAAATGAAAGATTCCTTAACAAGATTGTTTTTAGGTAGTGGTAGAAGTAATCTCAATTTGAGCGATGATCGCGTATTATGGTTAGACGACACTATATTATATTCGTGACGATTCTTGTGTATTAAGCAAGTGGTTTCTAAGATGAAAATTGAAGTAACAGTGAGGATTCTATTATTTTTGAAATGGTCGCGGCAAGAAATACGCGTTTTTACTTTACAAAGAGCCCTAATGGCTCTTTTTTGTACAACTTGCACCATATTATGTAACAGTTGTTTGTTGCACACTCCCCAGAAAGCAATGCCGTAGGTTAGGTGAAGTTTGAAGCAATACACTTTTTTCAGTATCTCGAAAATTCTTATTCCCATCTCGTTGAAGCTTGTACTAACAAATATCAAAAGTGAATCAATATACTGACCTTGCATTACTGTTGCCACTATTTTCAGCTGGTTGCAACTGTAAACTATTTATTCTTGAAGCCAACGATTCTGATTTTCTACGACTCTCTTCACTTTCAGCTTCGGAATCGGTGCAACTGTAATCTGGATCGGGAATCGGCGGAGCACCAGGCTGAGAAAGTTTTGGTGTTGATTTACTTGTTACCATCTTTTTTCTTCGTTCCTTCGATCCTGAAAAATATATGTATTCAGCACATTGGACACTTTGCATCATAATTCATTTATTATGTTCAGTGGGTATCAGGCAATTCCTGATTGGTTCAAAAATTATTTAACAAACAGTAAACAATATGTTGACATGAATAGTACTATTAGCTCCATAACGAATATTACATGTGGTGTTCCACAAGGCCAATATTGGGATAATTTTATTTTTGACATAAATAAATTCAATATTAAGAGGAGGATACACCATGCATCAGTGCAATGAAAACATGATTTCTCCGCCCCCACTTTTCATTGTTCAATATTTACTTTTTCGGAAAACAAAAAATATGGTGAGATGGAGAATTGAAATATCTAGGTTTCTCTGGAAGCAGAATTTTGAAAAAATTCACCGATATTCGTCAAAAAAATCATGAACATTGCATTTTTCGAGTATATTCAGATTTTTTTTTGAAAAAACTAAGACAAAAACTCAAAATCCGCTTCCAGAGAAACATCCGTTCATCCTTTGTGAAAAGCCCAGTATTTTTTGTTACAGGAAAAAAAATTTTTAGAGGGGAAAAAGTGGGGGCGCGCGATCCCATGTTTTCCAACATTTCGACACCGATTCCTAGCGTCCTCACCGGAGAATGCTGAAAACTGTGTTTCAATATTGGAATACAGGCTCATTTTGCGTTTTTGAGATTTTACCAGAGGGATTCAAAAAGTAGGGACATTTACGTTTGTACTTCAGCTATCTTTATCATTTTTCACCATTTCTGTTTCTTCATCCTATTCCTTATTGGGAACTTTTATACTGTCCACAATATCCATACATCATTTTATATTATCGAATGGGAATTATAAGATAATTTTAGCATTCCAGTAAGGAAGTATAGCACGATGTCCGTGAATCCTCCTCTCCGAGATGATAAATAAAAACATCAGATGATGTCAGGTGCGGTGTGAGGTGAAACGTTTGTCGGCAAAAGGGGAACCGGCGAAAAGCCGCATTTCGGTCGACGATATAAAGATTTTTTTTGAAGCGGGGAATTCCACATAAGTATAGACTTTCAAGGGTAGAGAAGATATTTTGTATTATATCACAGTAGAAAATATCGCCTATAATGGGATTCGTGAAATAAACTTTTTAACCAATTGCGGTAGCGGTAGACTTCGCGAATGTTTCGAGTGTTTACTTCGAAGTTCAGGTTTTTGTGATTCATGGGGAGACTCAGATAGCCAAATGGTGAACAGCAGAATAACAGGGTAAAGACGAATTGATATAAGTATATATATAATTATATACAGCATGTCTCACTTCAAATGCCCCCCCCCTCTATATCTCAGCTATTATAGCTATCAATCGTGCGATTCTTACCAAATTCGGACTAGTATGAATTACCATTGATATGATCAGTTTTTAGGAAAAGAAACATCATTATGGACAGTGCCGTGCGTTTTTATTGAAATTGAAATGGGTTTCATGAATCAGGATTTTTTGTAGGAAAACTAATTTTACAGTATTGTTACTCATGTTTTCGAACCTCCATGTGCAAAAATTCAATAATTTTAAAATACTTTGGAATGGGTCAAATTTCTCTCTTCATTATCAGCCCCGAATAAATAAAGACTTCTAATTAACCGCAAATTCTGGAACGTTCAATAGCTCCAGTAAGTAGAAAATTATGGTTTACATAAAATGAACAAGGCATAGTTTTTTTGTTGAACTCATCTTTTCCGAATGAATAATTTTTCCTACTCCCATTTTATAAGAAGCGAATTAATTATCTCGGATTTCTATCATGATACAGATTTTAACCAATGAAGACACGTTCTTTTCATCATGATAACAAATTTTTGGCCCATAAAAACACGTAGTACTTGGGTATAATCAAGTGGGTCTATGTTTCTATCTCACTTGCTTGAGTTGTTTGACATTTAATTCCAAATGACAATCATAATGACAACGCGAATGCGTCAAAAGTTCATGCAATTCATGTAGTTATGATGGTGGAGAATGCTGAAATATGAATAATGAGCAATTATTTGATTTTTGGAGCGATAATTTCTATAGGCTAGTTAGACACTTTCTGGGATAAGAGTAAACCGGCAGACTCGCGTCATGGAAGCACGCGTACCAGTGTAGGTATATCTATTTATGTGAAAACTCCACAAACGATAAGATTTTCACAAAATTCTCAAACACATGACATGTTTCGCTAATACAGTAGCTTCGTCAGGTGATATACTGGTACGGCCGAGTCAATACAAAATATCTATTTATGTTGATATGCGATGGCGGTGATGCTGATACCCTCCACAGAATTCATGTGAAAATTCTTATAACGATGAAGAACAATATTATGCGGTTCGTTTTCTTCTTGAAAAATGCCTTTTCATGAAAAATCGACCCCGTATTATTTTAATGGAACCCCAGATACAGAATATCAGTAAAAATTTGGTGAAAATCGCACGACTAATAACTAAGATATAGAAAGAGAAAAGCGTTTTTTCGAGTGAGGGACGCTGTATAGGAAAACAAATTCCATCTACTACGATGTGAATTTGCCATTTCAGAAAATATGACTCATCGTAATTTGCTGAAATTTTGCAGCTACGTTTCTCTATCGAAACTATTCCAGATGGCACCTTATGGAAAAAATCCAGATCCGGACATGGGAAAAATTCATGTTTTACTGATTTCTAAAGAGTTCACTTTGTGATCACTTTTCGCGAGAATTCTTATCAGAATCCGAAAGATCTGACGAAATGCCATAAGGACTGCTCTTCAATTTCAGGGCACGAAACTTTGACCGGTTCAATGAAGAAATATGAAACAAAAACGTTCGAATGAATTTTCAATTTCGACCTGACTGATGAAGTAAACAGTACTTTCAACTGGATTCATGTAAATAGATTTTTTGTACATTTTTGTTGGGTAAAAATTGACAGGAAAGAGCGAACGAGAAAAAGCACTGCAGTACCACTAACACTGATTTTTTTTGATGATTTGCAATGTTATAGTTCTTGATCGGAATTCTAGATAGATATTAGTAGTCGTGCCCTATTCTTTATTTCATGATGTGACGTGTGAATCTTGCACTCAAGATGTCACTTTATTTTTCAAATGCTGAACATGGAAAAAGTTCAAATGTTTGCAATGTTCAATACCATAGAAGATTTACAGACCCAAGAATATGTATAGGAGTAAAACCTTACTACGGCTATAACACACAATTGCTCTCGTTTTACTGTGCTCGATACGTCAATCAGGTATTTTGTATATCATCAATATTATTTCCGTATCTGATATCACAATGAATCCATTGTGTTATTATTTCAAAAAAATCTGAAAAGCAAATGTGAAGCAATGACACCGCTGTCTAATACTTATTACTTGACCGGAAATCAAATGGCTACAGGACGACGAAATCGGAAATGTCGCTGTTATCTATTATAGCCGTAGAAAAATTATGGCAGCATTCGCCAATATGGCTCATGCTGCAAACTTTATTCTCGTAGGAAATCACTATCATTCCGTGCTCGTTAAACAATATACTAATTTCATTTATTACATAATCTGATCAATCATATCACAACGTGTGTAATCGCGAAAACACAAGCGGTCTTTCAATTCTGATTGGTCTATCAGCGTTGGTGTAACCATGGCTAGCGAAGCAAAGACTGTCAGTTTGGCATAAAATAATTATATCTGTCGTCAGAATATGAATCGCTCATTTATAAGAAATTCTCTCTCTCTAGCAAATCACAACTCCGTTCTGAATATGTTCTCATGATTCTGTCTTTCATTGTTAACTCAATTGTGTTGAAATACCACTCGTCGTGGTGTTGCCCAGCAGAACACTTTCGTGAACAAGGAATCGACAAAATTATCTCGAATATTCAGAACATCCTAATAAATCTTCATGCGATGATTTCTCCAGTACCCATCTTTTCGGAATATCAACAGATACACGTCACGTCAAATGATGAAAAACACTGCCTATACTATTTCATTATTACTTCATTGATATTTGCAATATTTGTAAAGAGAAACAAGTCACGATGTCGATCAAAAACGAACATTTCAAATCACCAAAAAAGCAGTTCTGTGGTTTTTTATCAACTACTTATATCTGTCGATTCCTATCATAAATTCACATGAATCCAGTTGAAATGAGAGAGTTATCAGCTAGGGTCAAATTGAAAATTCATTCGAACGTTCTTGTTTCATATTTTTTAATGAACCGATCAAAGTGTGTCGTGCAAATTGAAGAGCAGTTCTTATGGCATTATGTCTGATCTTCCTGAATCTGATGAAATTTTTCTAGAAAACTGATCACAAAATGAGCTTTTTCTGTATAACAAGAGAACATGAATTTTTCGGATCTAATTTTTTTATAATATGCCATCTTGAATAAAGAAACGTCGCTGCCTAATTGGGATGGATCATATCTGAAATGTCGGCCATTGAAATCATAATATGGCAATTTCACATAATATCTTCGTTATTGAAGGCCAACAGAATCTTTCATACATGGAATCTCAACTTGTTTTGTTTTCCCGTACTCACCATTTGGCTATATATATGTGAGTCTCTTCATGAATTGCCCTGATTGCCCTGTATATCAAATTTGTCCTATAGTTTCTAATAGCATCTTCCCCATATCGGTCAATATACAGCAAACTGATGAATATATCCAATAACAATATAATCCTTGTATCCTTGTGGAAATTCCTATTTCACTCAAAAGTCGAGAAATATGGTGAATTGATCAAGAGAATTTTGATGAAATCATCGTGAGAAAAAGAACAGCAATTTCGCATTCATGCTATAAAATGACCCTTAAAACTAACATACAGAAGAGCAGCTTTGAAAATTCACAGCATCTAAAAACCCTTCACTTTTCTATATTTCGCTCCCGAATAATCTTGAACATCCCCTCGTATGACTACTTCGCGGTTTTAAGATGCGCCTATCGAACGAGCGAGGCGGAGATATTTAGTGAGAAAGAGGGAGTCCGTTCTGGAATTTCAAATATTTACCTCGTTTTCTACCCCTTAATAGAGGAGAAACTGAAGTATCATCGATATCATCCACTTTACATCAGAATTGAGAGGGAAACTGAAGTTATTCGAAGATGACACAACATTTCTCTACCATCTTCGCTCAAAATTCATATACTAGCAATTATAACATAAAAACTTTATAGGTATGGTTTTCCCAACAACAACATTCCGATGTAGGTATCAAATATGCGCTATCTTCAACAACAGAACCAACGAATATACAGTTACGGGGTGATCAGAATCCTGAAACTCGAACAATCAAATTTCAGTATAGATAAGTAGATCAGAAGTTAAGATAGGGACACATAAGAAATCCACAAGTTGGGAAATTTCGATTCAGAACACCCTATATCTCTGTAATCAAACTCGCTTGACCCCAAGTGTGACATATCGATAAAATCAGCTCTTCAGGGAGAATTCAAAAATTGAATGAAATACGGGGTATTACAATTTGAAAAGCAAATACCTAACAAAGTTGTAGCTACTTTTTGGTAGAAGCAGCAATACTACATTGTCAAAAATATTTTGAACTAAGAGTATAATAATCATTCAAATTATCATGAACTTCTTGCGACTGAATTCTCGATATACAGGGTGAGTCATGACTAACCAGCCATAGCCTAATGGCGGATAGCGGAGGTCAAGGTGAGTTGATATATATGTGAAAAAATATTTTTTGCCTATTCTTTACAGAAATACAGGGCATTATTTGAATTCGGGGCAAAACTTCAATGAACGATATTTCAGGAACGTCTCGATGTTATCGGCTGAAATTCACTAGCAACTTACCTCTACTGACACTCCACAAGATGACGTACTATGAATAAAAAATTCCAAATCCGGACTTGGAAAACTCATTTTCTCTTTAGATGTCAGAATTTTGACCTTCTGGATCGGATTTTTCGGAAACTTTCATCAGAATCAGAAAGATCAGGAAAAATACTATAAGTATGGCTTCTCAATTGGTACGGCACACTTCGATCGTTTTGGTAAAAAAATATCAAACATAATACCGATGAATTTATCTTCGATTTCGTCTGGGCATATCACTCTCTAAATTCGACTAAAAGTAGTTAAATCAAATCTTTTCCTGGAATGATTCAACAGCAGACTCAAGGAAAGGTATAATTCAATAAAAAATCCAGGACCGGACTTGATTTTGGATAATAACAATTATAATTTCCGAAAAAGATTTGTCTGGATCTTAATATTAATCAAGATTCTCGAAATGTCCTCCTCCAATTTCTATACATTTTCTGCATCTTTTCGGGAGATCTTTAATGGCTTCTCCAATAATTAGCCTATTATTTCTGATTATATCTGCAGCTGTATAACTATATCCTCTCCCAATTTTCAATTGAAATCTAACTTCTACTTGTGATAATGTGAAAACATTGTATTCAATAAGAACAATTGTTGCTTTGGTAGCAGATTTTTTTTCGAATCAGATATACGTGCCAACTTATACTACATGGAGGGATTTTGATTTGAAGTAATACTGAATATGATCTCATTTCTTGTGAACTCTCCCAATCAGCAAATCAAAGCGTGAGTTTAGTAGTTCATCGATTCTGAATACACATGAAGAGAAGGCTGTGATATAGTATAGTGTATGTCATTGACTCGATTTTGACGGTTGTTGAAACTGTCAAATGACATCTAGTTCATTGTTGATAATTTCAAATACATACTGTTACTAATTTTATAATTTCATATTTCATTTCATATCTTCAAAATGCCACTGCATTTCACTAACGTTGAATATGCAGATATTATTTTTGTATACGGTTTTTGTGATGGCAATTCAAGAGCTGCATTGAGAGAATACCGAAGAAGGTCCCCTGATCTCACAGTTTTGAACTATTTTCTTTGGGGGCATATGAAACAATTGGTCTATCAGACTGAAGTCAACACCAGAGACGAACTGAGGGAGAGGATAGTTACAGCTGCAGATATAATCAGAAATAATAGGCAAATTATTGGAAAAGCCATAAGAGGTCTCCCGAAGAGATGCAGAAAATGTTTAGAAATTGGAGGAGGACATTTTGAGAATCTTGATTAATATTAAGATTCTGACAAATCTTTTTCGGAAATTATGATTGTTATTTTCCGAAATCAAGTCCGGGTCTGATTTTTTTATTGAATTATACCTTTTCTCAAGTGTGCTGTTGAATCTTTTCAGGGAAAAATTTGATTTAATTACTTTTAGTCGAATGTAGAGAGTGATATGCCCGGACGAAACCGAAGAAAAATTCATCGGTTTTTTGTTTGATATTTTTTTACCAAAACGTTCGAAGTGTGCCGTACGAATCGAGAAGCCATACTTGTAGTATTTTTCCTGATCTTTCTGATTCTGATAAAAGTTTTCGGAAAATCCGATCCAGGAGGTCAAAATTTTGACATCTAAAGAGAAAATGAGTTTTCCAAGTCCGGATCTGGAATTTTTCATTCATAGTACGTCATCCTGTGGAGTGTCATTAGAGGTAAGTTGCTAGTGAATTTCAGCCGATTACATCGAGACGTTCCTGAAATATCGTTCATTGGAGTTTTGCCCCGAATTCAAATAATGCCCTGTATTTCTGTAAAGAATGGGCAAAAAATATTTTATTATATATATATCAACTCACCTTGACCTCCTCTATCCGCCATTGGGCTATGGCTGGTTAGTCATGACTCACCCTGTATATGTAAGCTCTTCGTGACATACATAAGAGTAAGAAGTAGTATTGAAAGAGAAAAATAAATGGATTATCATTTTCAATTATATGAAAAGTTTGTTTCCTCTGCAGGTACTATATAATAAGAAGCCGTATATGCCTTCAAGCGTCGTCCCTCGATTTTCATGTTATGATATATCGTGAATTACAATAATTATTTAGTAGTAGTAGTTTATGAATACTTGTTCATTTTTCCACCCTGCAATTGGCTTCGGCTCTTGGATGGTGTATGAATGAATGAAAAAAAAAGTATATCGTTAACGAGCACGGAATGATAGATTTCCTACGAGAATTAAGTTTGCAGCATGCGCCATAGGCGAATCGCTCATCTATTAGACAGAAGTGTCATTGCTTAAAATTGGACATTCCATGGGCGATGAGTTTTTTTTTAAATAATAACACAATGAAGTCATTGTGATATCACATACGAAAATAAAATTGATAACATACAAAGTACCTCATTGATGTATCAAACACAGTTAAACAAAAGCAATCTTGTGTTATAGCCGTAGAAAATAGTTATTTGTTTTACTCAGCAGAAAAGTACAAGATTTGATGCCGCGGCTTGCGTTTCATACCCTAGGCGTAGCCGAGGCTAGGAAACCAGCCAAAGCATATTACATCTTCTTTTCTGCCCTGTGAAACTTATATGTAGTTTTTTCTCCAAATCCTTCTCAATTTTAGACAAAGTTCGAATAATGCTTCATTTTTGTTCACCCAAAGTCATTGTCAATTTTGATTACCAATTTTATTCAAATTAATTAGAACGTTGCATAGCAACAAACTTTTTCTGCCTAGGCAGTAAACGTACACTTTTTCTGCTTGTTAAGTGTCATTAAAATTCCACTTTCAATGTCATTTGGAGAGAGAAAAATATTATATCATTACTTTAAATATAGAAAATACCTACTCATTAACTTACCAGTAGAATTAGACCTAGATGCGCGAATCGGTTGAGCATACGGATTAGCCTGCTGGTCATTTGGAATTTTAGCAGGATTATTGGCAACCTCGCCAGGTTTGAGCAACAAATTCGTCCTCATACTCTGAGACTTCCTTAGCTGAGACCTCGCTGAGTGTGAGGGTAAGCTCTTGGATCTGTAACCAACGGCTTTCATGTCGTCGGGAGATGCGTACAATTTGGCACTAGATGTTGGATTGAACGACGACACAACTCCTGAAATTGAAGGAAAAATTAATTAGATTCCCAGACCTAGGTCGAATGAATGGAGAGGAATCTATATATACACAGGCTGATTCACGGTGGATGGTATATTAGACGTTTCTGGAGAACGCAACGTAGGATTATACCATTGAGTATTCACACTAAATAATCTAGGATTATACTGAAGATTTGGTTTCTTGTTCTATCGATCTGAAATATTCTGAACACAGCGACGTTCCGCTCATATTGAAAAGTAGCAACAACTTTTATTTCCTTAATGGGACACCCTGTATATCATTCTATTTTCAGATTATCCCTGAAGAGCTGATTCCAGCGATCAATCACACTTGGGGTCTAACGGAGATGATAACGAAGATATATTTGATTTTTTAACTTCAAGTGTTTTTTGTGTCATAACTGTTCATCATTGGTCAAAACGGTTTCCATGTCCCTATCTCAACTTTTTATGTACTATAATTGATGTTTAATTGAACCACCCTGTATTTATTTCCATTAAATATCAATTGATAGTGAATAAAATGTTGGGATGAAGATATGAAAACCGTTTTGACCAATTATGAATAGTTTCGACACAAAAAATTCCTTAAGTTTCACATCCTATAACTCGGGTATTTTGGTATTTTTTACTGCTAGACTCCAAGTGTTATAGGTGAATATTTTAGGTCGATAGAACAAAACTAATTATCCAAGCCACCAACTTTTCGAAATGATCCTGAGTTGCGCTCTCCAGATGTGCCATCCACCGTGAATCAGCCATAGTTAACTGTGGACCTACAGAGATAGATCATTTCTTCTTCAAACCGACATCAATAAACAAGTCTCATATCATGAAAATACTTTCATGAAATGAGTTTCCACGCAACTCTCATTAAAAGATACCAAACTTTATTTCAACTATATGTTTGTGACTTCTTTTTTTCAACACTAGCTATAGAACCTACAATTATTTACTCCTTTCGATGGCGTACAGTGTGTTTTTACTACCAAGGTAGTTTCCATCATTTTATGACACTAGTCAATAAAGACATAGCCACCTTTGTTGTAATTATTCCGAATCCACTGTTCTGATTCGATATTCACAGGAATGGTATTCGATTCTAGTGGTTATCAATATAACTACTTGTCATATGCTGTAATGAACGGGTATATCTTAGACAAAATTATGTAAATTTCTGAATTCTTTTGAACTAAGTACAGTTAACAATAATTGTCTTAAATAAAAATAACTTTTATCATGCGTCTACTAGGCAATATTATTACGTGAACGGACGAATGTTTATTTTGAATTGAGTGCAGCATCATTAGCATAAACAAATGTATAGAATAAGTAGGTACGTTACCTTTGTAAAACGAATTCACTGGTCACTTGAGAACGAAGCAGGTTGATATCACAGGACCGAATTGAGAGACAAAAATGACGTTGATGAGAATTTGCAGAGAATTTATAAGTTCAGTAAAGAGGGAGTGACTTTAATCTGATTGGCTTGAAAGATCAATAAATTATTATTCAGCCCAAATACGTAAAGGAAAGAGCATGTAATTGTCAATTTTGTTAATATTCCTGAAGTGAATTATTATCATAACATTGGAGAGTTACATCGAAATCATCTCACTTGTGCAAATTAAAGCCGAGAAAAATTAATGAGAATCATAAACCACATTGAATTATTACTTGAAAAAGGGTTAATGGAAAACTATAGTAAATGACAGTTTTGTTCACATTAAAAGTATGAGTTATAGCTTAAAATTATTTATCATCATAACAATTCAGAACTACAGCAAAATCTTTTTAGTTTCGCATATTAATCCTAATATCCGTAATTTATTGCTCAAAAATTCACTAGAAATCTTGCTCAATATAAACACAACATGAAACTTATCTCATATTTAATTGATTCTCTTGAAATTTATTGCCAAAATTCAGTATAAAAGCAGGAAAATTCGACTTCAACTTCAGTCTTAAACGTGACTCAATACAAAACGTATCCAGCCGACTTTGTACTTGTCTATCAAACATGCTACGTTCGAACAGTACCAGTGAACTTCGTTAATAATACCTGTATAAGTGACCACTCAGGTAGATTTATTGTAATCTGCAACTTTGGTGACTAAGACGTAAAAGTGAAGTGAATCTCTCGCCAATTGAAAAAACAAGTGAACAGTGTAACAATAATGTGCAATCTAAAATGTAAGCAAACTTTGATTTTGTTGCCTGTAACCTCTGCCTGACCATTCTGCCTGAATATATGTCTCAGTAACTATCTATATGTTGTCTTATTGTCTACAATCTCAGTCTGCCTCCTGCCTCAATAATCAACGAACCCATTGATCGAGGAAAACTTATTTTGTAACGACCCCCTGTAGTAGGCCAACGAACGAAGAAAGTTGGGGGCATTACAATGCTGTCATATGGTGACAAGATTTTAATTAGAATTGAAAAATGCTTTCATAGTGACATAGGCCAACATTTCAGTTTCACAGAACTATAATGATTGAAATATATTGTCAGTGGTGATAAAAAATCAATATACACCTAGGTAGTAAAGGATATTATTACCACGGGACCTTAAACCCCTCGGCTGAAGCCTCAGGATATAATCTTGGTCCCTGGGTAATGATTATATTTATAAGAAAAAACAATAAAAGTCTCAAAGTCTGTCGACCACTAAAAAATATTTGATAATAGTAGTGTAACTAGTTTCGGCCACAGGCCATCATCAGACACAAAATTGATGTATTAAAGTACCTCAGTGATACATATCAGAAGCAAACATTTTTTATAACATTATCAAAAGCCAAGGTCGAAAAAACAAATTATCAGTCCCAAATGTTTTCAGTTTGGCTATCTATATAATAGCGTTTTTCTTTTTGTTTTTCAAACCACAATGTATTTTTCTCAGGAGAAACTGTTACTATACATCAGGGCTTTTAATATGGTGTTGATATCAGAAGTTCGGACCGGTAAAAATACATTGGCGTGATGCAGGCAATCAACTATTGAATGCAATATTGTTTTTCATAATTCAGTAAGCAATTATATCAGCTGAGGGTCATTCGGTGTTTCAATTACCTATTGAAAACATAAACTACAAAAAAACGAGATGTCAAATGAAGGTCAAATGTCGACAGATGTGAAAGAACACAAACTTTTGAGACTGGTTTCTCTTGAATGATATCGATTATTCCTTCTTCACAATCTTTTTTTTTTACTTTAATGATTGAAACTACAATAGTTGTTTTTTTATCAGTTGTTTTTTTTACTTTATTTTTCCAACCATTGCAAAATCGATAAATATTAAAGATCATGGTGGCATCTGATGTACAAGATTTCTTGCCCTGGGCAACCCACATATATTCGCCAAATTGAAGGAATTTCCTAGGAGACGGCTCGCACATCATTACCATCAGTGTTAAATAAAAATCGTCGTCGAGGCATTTCCAAATTATTGTTCTTTGAATTGAATCAAAGGCTGCTCTGAGGTCGATAAACGCCAGTAAGAGTCCTCCCCATTTTCCATCCTCCTCTCTATCAAGTTTCTAAGTATGTATATATTGCCGTTCGTCTCTTTCCGGTCTGAAGGCTGCTTGTTCTTTCCCCAGGTCTTTCTCTACAAATTTTCCCAGTCTCTTCTCTATTATTCTCGTGTATGTTTTGAAACTTATAGATGATAGGCATATTGCCCTGTAGTTTTCACAATTCAGGTGTTCTCCTTTCTTGTAGATGGGCACAATAAGATTGTTTTGCCAGTCTTTTGGCATTTCCTTTCTTTCCCATGCTATCTTATGTATTTTCCATAGCCAGGATACTCCTTCATCTCCTAGAAATTTTATCATTTCTGGCTCTATATCATCATCTCCTCCTGCTTTACCAGTTTTTATTGATCTTATTTCTTCCACTGTTTCTTCTCTACGCATGTCTTCAATTTGTATGTTTTCCTCTACTTGATTTCTCTCATATCCTTCGTCTGTGATATCTTGATTGAATTTTTCTTCGTAAAAATCTTTCCATGTTTTCGCTATTTGTTTTGTATTTGTGTTCACATTTTCATTACCACTTCAATTCGTGTTTCTTAGACAAAAAAACGTAAGGAACAAAAAAAAACGAAAAAAAAAACAAACATTGCTCGCAGATATTGCCACGTTCCGCTAAAAAAACCTACCTTCCTCCCCGAGCTCCCTCTCCCCCCCACCGCCCTCCGCCCGCCTGCCCCTGGACACGTCCACCCTCACCAGCTGCACCTGCGGCGGTATGGGCGGCGGCGGGCACGTCGGCGGCGGCAGACCGCGGGCAGCCTGCGCGCCGCTGACGTCCTCCTGGCTGCGGTGGAACTTGGACGGCGGCGTCCGAGGGCCGAGCGAGGCCGCCTCTTGGGCCAGGTCGGGCGTGCTGTGGAAGGTCCGCGTAAGGGTTTTGGCCCCGAAGAATAGGTCCGTGAATCTCACTTTGGTGGTCTGCGGGAGATCAGAAAAAATATGATTAAAGTCAACAATAATGCCACAAGTGATTGCATTTTCGTGAATTATTTGTTATTGATGAATTAGTTTTGTTTATTCCCCCTAAATCATTAAATTCAGGTAGTAACTACAAAATATCAATAAATCCAGTTTGCATTTATGCCGTTATCTCTGTAGTTGTTAGTAAAATAATTTTTTGCTGCGAACTGGTTCATTTTTGACAAAATATTCAAGATACATTTTTTGAATTTAGAATGTAACAGGCTATCAGAAATAAATTTTTGAATGGTGAACAAAAAATAAGACAAAAAGTTACATTGGAAATAAAATTTAGGGGTTTCGTTTTCCACCCCTTACAACCATGGGGTAAAACAAATAAATTGATGGCTAAGTGTCTCTTTGGTAGTAGAAAATGTCAGGTTAATTTCAATACAGTAACTTTTTTGTGCTTGTGAAAAAAATTGTACACAAATTTTATGTAGCCTCTTCAAGGGGCTGTATCGCTTGCCGGTCGTGGGTTCGATCCCCGTCGACTGCAGAAATTTTTCTGATGGCCAAGAAAGTGTTTGGGATCACACGTTAAAAGGTAAGGCCCCCGTCATTCCTTGCTCGCACAAGAATTTCGAAGACTTTTGAGGGTTGCTCGTAAGGGGGCAACCGAATGACGGATAGAACAAATTTTAGAACAAAAAAATCTTAACATAGGATGCTCCAATGAAGTTTCTTTATATGAAAGATTCTATCTTTTTTTCGATGAGGAATATCCCCCTTAAATGTTTTACACTTCTTAAGTTACACCCTGTATATATGAAGAAATACATTGAGAATTCGCATTCTCCATGTGATGAAAATATTAATTCTTTCTTGGTTCAACTACTTTCCTGGCTATCTGCCACGACGAACATTGAATTACATCTATTGAACACACACGATAAGAATTTGAAAAAAAGATCTTCTGAAGTAGAGAATTTGCAATCTCCTTCAAATAGAGATATGGACATGATATCGTTCTGAATATTCAACAGAAAACAACTGCTTACCTGGCTATTTGCCACGTCGAACATTGAATTATATCTGTTGAATATCCAAAAAGAGAGCATAAAAATCAAAATCCTCTGAAATTCAGAATTGACATTATCTCTTAAATCTAATAGAATAATATGATGTATTATGATATAAAAATATAACTTGTCAATATGTTCAGTATTGAAATGATATGAAATGTATAGGAGAAGAATACTTGTATGATCTCTGATCTTGATGAGCTTGGAACTTCCAAAAAATCAATCAATTATATCTCTCACAAACAGGTTATATGACTCAACTTAACTTAACACCTGTTCTCTGCAAGTTACAAATTGGGGATATTCTCGTCCAAGTAGAAAATTGCAAGAGTACAACCATGTTCCTAAAAAATGCAAGACCCTACCTAGCAACTACAGATCGATCGCACTGCTATCTATTATTTCAAAGATCATGGAGAAAGACCTGGAACATTCAGGTATTATCAACGATAGGCAATATGGCTTCCGTCATCAGAGATCAACTAGTGACCTGCTCGCTTACGTCTCACATATATGATAGCAATCTATTGAGAAATATGATGAAACCTTAGCCGTTGCACTTGATATCTCCAATGCATTCGATCAAGTCTGGCACCACGGACCAAGCTTCCATCTTATGACTTGCCTCCCCAGATATGTTCTCTGCTAGCTAATTCTCTCTCAAACAGGTCTCTCCATGTAGTGGTCGACGGAGTTTCATCTGTCTCTCTTTTCATAAATGCTGGTGTTCCGCAAGGATCAATTCTAGCAGACACTATTTCTACTCCATATCAACGATTTCCAGTACACAGCCTCGCGGATGGCACTACCCTCCATACCTTCTTCTCTTTCAGGGCTCCTATACCAGCCAGGCAAATCAGAAACGAACGAGGAAGAAATGTTGACAACATAAATATGGACTTGGCAACAATTCTCGAATAGGGATCCAATAATAACTTGGTGGATTTCATTGCAAACAAAGCACAAGCATGCCTTTTCTCTAGAAAAGCCGATCTCACTGTGCCCAACATAAGCTTGTCAGGAGTAACCATACCTTTGAAGACATCCATTTGATGCTTGGTATTACCATCAGCAATAACCTTGCTTGGGAAAATCACGTGAGATCAATTGCTAAAAGTGCATCCCAAAAACTTGGTTTTCTGTTTCGGGCCAGGAGCTATTTCACTTCCAGTCAGTTGCTTATGATCTATAGAAGGCAAATATCCTACCTGTCCTGGAATACTGTTCCCATATTTAGAGTGCAGCACCCGAACAAACCCTGAAACTGTTGGATTCTGTCCAAAAAAGGGCAATTCGTCTCGTGGGTGATACCTCGCTCACAAACTCACCCACTTCTCTGAAACACCGTAGAATAATTGGCGATCTGGCTCTATTTTATAGATATCTCCATGGACGATGCTCTTCTGAAATATCAACAATTGTTTCTCCCTTGGCAGTTCCCGCGAGGTTAACCCGTCGACTTGAGGCTTCGCACCCCTTTGTGGTCACTTTGGAGACGTGCAGAACATCTCTTTCCAAAGACTCGTTCATCCAACGAACAGCGAGGCTCTGGAACACATTGCCAAGGGAGATGTTCCCCGAGGCATATAACCTCAAAAAAATTAAGAAGAACACCAATTCTTACCTTATTTCCTTTGGTTCTCACGATGTTCTCTGAACATTACGGGATATTCTTTTTCGTGGGAACCAGAACATAAAAATAATCCCATTCTTGCTAAATGATAAGCCGTAACACCTGCTCACCTTATTCTTGCTTCGCTTCATCTCCGCCACGCTCGCGTACACCCGCCCCTTGGTCGGCGAGCCGCCCTTGCCCGCCCCCTCCTGAAACCGCGAGCTGGCCATCAGCGACCCGGGGCGGCCGTCCGCCTCCCGCTGCGCGCGGAACAGCTCCTCGAGCGCAAAGGGCGACCGCGCGGAGGTGGGCCGCTGTCGAATGGAAGCGGTGCGCGGCTGGGTATGCGCTGGGCCGCCCGCAGGGCAAGCTTGGTGGATCGACTCAGCCGAGGTGGAAGTCGGCGGGTCGTCAGTCTCTTCGTTTTCTCCTCCTGTGGGAAGAAAGTAAGGAAGAATCAGTTAGACGCCCAATGGGCACACGTACGTTTTGTGAACGTTTAATCAACGTAGATCAGGTTGAATAGACGTTCATGGTTGATGAATTCAACGTTGATGTATGGTTGAAGGGAATAACGTTAAAACTAAACGTTTAATACACGTATTGAAAACGATATGTCCTAACCATCCATGAAAATCGTACATTTATAAAACGTTTGCCCAAAACGTTAGACAAACTGTTGAGATAAACGTTTCTTCAACGCGAATCCTTCATCATTTTCTCACTGATAGTGGGGAAAAACGTAAATAAAACGTTATTCAACTACATTTTCCAGCCTTCATATGACACGTTCATTATACCTTGTTGTTGAACTATTTTTGAACTCAAAGTTGAACTGCTAGCAGTTATATAACGTTTATTCGAAACATTTGTTAAACCCATGGAATGGTCGTTTTTTCAACGCCATTCTTTTAACAAAAATTAACTGCTGGTCAAGAGAGCAACGTGTTAAAAATGTTTTTCAACAACGTTTCTCCACCGTTATTTTCCAACGTGTAATAAATGTTGTTATCAAACTATTTTTACTTTTGCTCACGGTTATGTAACGTTGTTTGATAACTTTCAATGAACTCTTAACTCTGACGTTTGCCCAACGTGAATCTTTTACCATCATTCAACAGAAACAATAACGTGATGAATACGCTTTTCAATAACGTTCCTCAACCATTACTCAGTAACGTGTGATTAATGTTGTTATCAAACTATCTTTTTGGTATAAGTGCTCACGGTTATGTAACGTGTTTTGGTAACGTTCAATGAACTCTTAGAATCAACCCCGATGGGCACACGTGCGTTTTTTCAAAGTATTATCAACGTAAAATAAGTCGAATAGACGTTTATGGTTGAGAAATTAAACGTTGAAATATGGTTGAAGTATTTAAAGTTAAATCTAAACGTTTTATAAACTTACCAAAAACTATATGTCCTGACGATCTGTTGAAATTATGCATTTATAAAACGTTGCTCCGAAACGTTAGTCAGACGTTCGAAATAAACATTTCTGTAACGCGAATCTGTCAACATTTTCTGACCGAGAGTGGAAGAAGAACGTGAATTAAACGTTTTTCAACAACGTTTTTTAATTGTTAATCGTCAACGTGTAATATAAGTTGTGGTTAAACTACATTCTATATCATCCGTCATTTGAGAACGTGTGTTTTACATGGATACAAAACTACTTTTCATAGATCCGGCCAAGTCCTCACAATCAACTAACTTTTATTCAAAACGTTTATTGAACTCTTGAAATGAACGTTACTTATGAGTTTTTTACAAAGTATTCGATATGGGTTGATACAAAAAAAAAGCGTGTAATATATGTTTTTTCTGTGACGGGAAAAAAGTTTGGCATTTCATCTCTGTTTGCAGGTTATAAAATGTCACTTTTCATAAATTACTTTTTTCCCGTGGGAAAAAAGTGAGTACTTCTTTCCCGGATATATATCACATATTTATACTCTGTTAATGGCTTTTGTTGTGCTATAGTTCCGAGAAATAAGTCAATAATACCGTCTCCGAGAAAGAACTGCAAGTCCTTTTATCTTCCATTCGACTTCGCGGTTTCGTATATTACTAAACAACTACTGAATTCGCAATTTTTTAAAATCAAATCACAGAATTTAACTGACAGAAGTGACATCAGATATTTGATTACTTCAAAAGAATGATAAAGATGTATATAAAACGCAGGTGTCCCTACTGTTAAAAACTTGAAATTTCACGTCGATAATTCTCAGATTTCGAAATAATGTAATATCTTCCCAATATTGATTCGTCCTTCCTTCTGTCACAGAAAAAAATAGTGTATTATACACGGGAAAAATATTAGATTTTAGCTCACGGTTTTTTGTCTCCCTCCGCTACGCGTCGGGAGACAACACAACCTGGAGCTAAAATCTACTACTTTTTTCCCTTGTATAATAAATAACTATTTCTAACAACGTTAGATAATCGTCATTAGACAACGTGTATTCTTTCCGTTTACATCTCGCTGACGCTCACACCAAGAGTTTAGGTACAAATAAGAGTAGTCGAACAAATTTGAATAGGGATACGTAAAGATAGGTACGTCACTAAGAAGTAAGTGGAACGGAAAGGAAATAGATGGACACATATCAGGTTAGTGAGTTATAATAATAATAATTGCAATAATTATTAAAATGATAATAAATAATTCATTGTGAACACAAAAATAACGGAAAGTAATCTAAAACCGAAAATTCGACGACTCAAAATTGATCCGAAGTAAACGTTGAAAAATCTTATTTTAACAACTTGTTCGAATCGTCATTTTTAAACGTCAATTACACCTCTATTATCGACAATTATGAAACGTCACTGTGCTCATTGGGTACGTGTGTTATGTACAGAGGGTGATTCACCGTAAATGTCCCCCTCCTCTAGCTCAATTATTTTTGAACAGATTCTAAAATTTAAGGAATCATTTGAAAACATTTTTCATACATTCATTTTCCGCTACATCAGAGAATACAATGTGCTCGGAACAAACGATCTACAGGGTACTAGTTGATATTTTCAAAAGGAACCCCCTGTATTTCATTTTATTTTTAGATTCTTCCTGAAGAGCTGAGTCTATCAATGTATCACACTTGAGGTCCAGCAGAAATGATTACAGAGATATAGGGTGTTCAAAATCGAGATGTATTACCTTCTCATTTATTATCTACCGACATTTCATTGGAACAGATACAGGGGGTGATGAGAATCCTTAATCTTGAAGCACCCTGTATTTGTCTCAATCGAATATCACTAGATAGTAAATTGAAATTTGAGATAGGGACATGAAAGCCTTTTCGACCGATAATGAATAGGTTCGACATAAAATAATCCTAAAGTTGAAAAATTTCTTTGAACATCCTATATTGTGGTGTGGTGTATACTTGGTGTTCCATTTAAAAAATCAATTAGTACCCTTTAGAGCGTTTGTTCCGAGCACATTGTATTTTCTGATGTAGCTGAAAAAAAAATGAGGAATCATTTCAAATGAATCCTAAAATTTTGAAATCGGTTCGAAAATAACTGAGCTAGAGGGGGGGCATTTATGGTGAATCACCCGGTACTAAATATGTATTGATCAGGACACATTTCAGCAACACTGTGTATCACAAGCAAACTTGATATTGTTGTCGCGTCTTAGTTATTATATGCTAATACTACATGACAGAAACAGCCGAAATCTATTACATTTTGACTAGAGATAATCCTCAGGTGTATTGATTATCGAAACAAAGCGGTTGTCAGGAAGAATTGGCAACGTTGGTGGGATCATTTTTTTCACCTTCGCCAAGTGTGCCGCTCCCGCATAGCCCCTTTACTCAAGGTTTTTACTCAAGCTCAATATAAAGAAATATTGTTGAACTAACTCAAAAAGCCTCAATCATTGTTAAACATTCATAAATAAATGATTTCTTGGAAGTTATCTAATAAAATTATCTTGCTCCTGTCACGGTGTTTGTTGCCAAACTCCTCCGAAACGGCTTAACCGATTCTTATGAACATTTTTGTGCATATTTGGTCTGTCTGAGAATCGGTCGTAAACTATTTTTCAAATTGAAAATTCAAGATGGCGGATCCAATATGGCAGAGGAGTTTCGTAATCCGATTTTATTCAAAATTGGTATCTGGGAGATTTCGAGGTCGGATATTATGATTCTTTCGTCAAAATTTGGGAATTTAAGTTGGGGAATCCAATATAGCGGACGAGTTTTGTAATTTTATGGTCCGATTCTATTCAAAATTGATATCTGGGGGTTTTCGGGGTCGGAGATTATGATTGCTTCGTCAAAATGGGGGAATTCAGAATGGCGGATCCAATATGGTGGACGAGTTTTTTAATTGTAAACAGATTCCATTCAAAATTGGTATCCAGGGTTTTTTGGGTCAGAGATTATGAATCGTTCGTCGAAATTTGGAAATTCTATATGGCGGACAAGTTTCGTAATTATGATCCGATTCTATTCAAAATTGGTTTTTGGGGGTTTTTGGAGTCGGAGCTTAGGATTCCTTCGTAAAAATTGGAAAATAAAGATGGCCGATCCAATATGACGGACAAGTTTTCTAATTATGATCAGATTCTTCTAACTTTGTATCTGGGGGTTTTCGGGGTCGGTGATTATGATTTTTCTTTCAAAATTGGGAAATTCAAGATGGCGAACGAATTTAGTAATGAATAGTAATTTGAAGAACTTTAATGAAACACGCTTTTATAGATAGCCAAACTCGAGGCCCAACTGAAGAGGAGTAGAAAATTGATAGTATAGTTTGAAAAACTAAGAAGATATTCATGTAAAACTAAGAAAGTGGAAAATAAAATAATGAAAGTGTGTTGATAAATATTTAACCAAATGAATATTTCCTAGAAATAATGTTTATGGCAAATCAACATTTGCCGGGTCAGCTAGAATTATACAAAAATCTCATTGCAATTTGCAATGCGCGAAGTATGTACTGGTAATGTAGGAAACTGAAATATTTATTATATGATTGAAAACATCATGAAGTAAGTAACTAAATCCTGAGATCAATTAAAAATATAATTTTGATCAATATCAGTCATCAGGGCCAAGCGACATTTCCCTCCTAAACATCGAACATGATTCGCTGTCTGAAAATTTTTCTGCACATTATAGTCATCCTATAAAAGTTACCATATGGATGTCCATGGCAGATACCATATGGATGTCCATGACAGATACCAAAAAGTTGGAAACGTCATCCAGAGTACACAAACTGGATGTCCCAGATGTCCAGAGGAGGATGTCCATTGGATGGAGTTGTGTAATTACCCAGGTAGCACATCATATTGGCTGGAACCTGATTTCATATTGGGCCGATATAGATATATCGTACATGTGAAAAATGATATAGGTCCAATATGAGAGTATATTGGACATACAATATTGGAATGGTAATATTGGTGGAATATTGATTCAACCTGAGCTGAATATGGATTGTCAGCTACAATATTGTAGCAATATTGGTTGTAAAATTCGTTAACTATGTGTTGAAAGAAAAACATATCTATAAATGTGTATATAATATTGTTTCACAAATGTCGATACAACAACATGGTACCGTAGAATGGGGTGACTTGATAAGATTTTTGACACACTTCCATAGATTGCGACCTTACCATGCAACTTTCAACCAAACTAAAAATAGTCACCAACTCTTTCGACCCTAAAGAACAGAACGATACATTAAAACCGTTTCTATATAGTGTAGTTTTCGAAAAAAAAAATGTCAAACGTCATATTTCAAGTCACCCCAATATGGGGTGACTTGAAATATGACTTCTTATCAACGATTATTTCAAGTAGGATGGTCTAGGTGGTGACATGAAATGAAAATTAAATAAAAAATATATAGAAATCATCAATTTCATAAAAAAACACTGTGTTTTAGAACAAATATTTTTTAGCAAAATACAAAAAAGATAAAAAACTACAAAAATAAACAAAAAATCATTAGACTGAAAGACTAGTTTAGCTTCTTCCGTTGACATGCGACGTTGCCACTACTTCAAAATTTTCACTGCATTTTATTTCAAGTCACCACACGATTTCAAGTCACCCCATTCTACGGTATATATATTGTTTCCAACAATTATAACCAATATCGCAATTTGAACATTCTCCCTATGTCGATTTTGAAGCTGTTATGCAAATTTGTATATTCGAGTTCGACGGCTCATTCTTGAATATTGTTCCGACAATATTCAAAACATCATATTCACCCAAATTGATTGATATAGTTTTAACTATATCATGCGGAAGACATGGAATTCATATTGTTTCAAAGATGAATATCAATAACGGCAATTCAATATATATCTTATATCGGTCATGGGAGAGAAAAACAATATTGTATTTTTAAGTTCAATTGCATATCGATTGAATAGTTTTTCAGCCATATTCAGAAAATAATATCATCTTATATTGGCTGATATCTGATTCACTATATCATGTGAGCAATATTGGTATGAAAATATTCCACCAATATTTTGAAGACAACATAGCCACATGATAATTTTCAATAATGTACCAATATTTCCAATCAATATTGCACCAGTATTGTCAAATGTTCACTGTTCATTTATCAGCAATATTGATATCACATTTTGTGACCAATATAACTCCACGAATATTCCAGCAATATTGGTATGAAAATATTCTTCCAATATTGTCGAGACAACATAGCTTCATGATGATTTTCAATGATTCACCGATATTCCATATAATATTGCATCAATATTGCCAAGTTTTCACCATTAATTTCTCGCCAATATTGATATGAGAATATTTCACAATTTTGTTCGAGACGATATTGCAACATGCTGATTTTCAATATTCTACCCACATTTGGAAGCTGATATTGTACCAATATCGCCGAATTTTCACATTGTTTTTCTCGCCAATATTACTTTCACATTATTTTGCCGATATTTTCGTAATATTGCACCGATATTGTCCCAATATATGTGTGCTACTTGGGTAGGGATGTTCTCCGAACATAATAGGAATTTCCTTTCGTTCGCTTCAAGATATAAAAAAACACAACAATCACAACTCCACTCACCTAATACGGCCACCATACTCTTCGCTCGCGCCCTGCCCACGCTGAGCGTCGTCTTGGGATCCCGTCTGGGCGGGGCAGGCGCTTGCGCTCTCCCTGCCGCGCCGTCCCCCATCTTCCTCGGCAACGTCGCGAACTGTCTGCCCAACGGAGTGTCCTGCTTGCCCGCCAGGGTGCCCGACCTGCTAGCGTGTATACCTGAAGCAATAACAACAGTGGGTATCATTTTTTTGAAGAATCCTATGGGTTGCGTGCAAGATCTGTTACATGACCCATGACCGACCCTGGAGGTAAAACTTTGAGATAATGAAATCTATTTCCAACCGCCTGATATTGAAGAAGTCAAATCCTTTTATTGCTACAAAACTAAAATGAAAAACTGGATATGAGTCTCTTCAAGGAGTTCATTTGCTTCTCTAGTTAATATTTGATATGGTAATTTTGCACTTATCATGCGATGGGTTTTTTTTTGAAAATTTTGCTTGGTACTTACGTATTTTTGTCTGAAAAACACGAATTTGATAATGAAAATGTGAACAAACCACTATTTATCGAGATATTTCAAGGAAAAGTTCGAAATTTTGCCTTCTTTTCCCCCTTGTGTTGGATGCATTTACAGGTACTTGCTCTTATTATTTTGTCATTGGACACTTTATATACTGATGATGTACTTCACTGACACATTTTAAGATAGAACATTCAATAGGAAATATTATTTTTATGGCGAGTTTTTCCTATTTAGTGAGCAAGCATACCAGATGACGGCCGAGATGTCAAATGTCAATAGATTGCTTTGGAATGACATTACACACGCCATTATTTCAAATGATATTCTTCCTTCTTTTCACTAAACATGGATAAATCACAAGAAAATTATATTTCTAGTTGACTCATATAATAAAAAAAAAATGTGTCCATATATAAATTGTCCAATGATGGAAAAAGAAGGGCAAATTGTTCTAAATGTGATCCAGAAGACAGGCGGAAAAGATGGTGAAATTTGTAACTTTATAGTGAAATATCTTAATAAATAATGGTTTGTTCACATTTTCATTATCAAATTCGTGTTTTTCAGACAAAAATACGTGAGTACCAAAAAAAATTTTCGAAAAAAAACCCATCGCATGATGAGTGCAAAATTACCTTTGATATCTATTTATACGAAATTTGAAACAGTACTGAATTGTACTTATACAAAATGATTGAATGGAAAACAATACATTTTTATTTATAAATTACTTCTGTCTCGAATTAATCAATTTATTTAATAACCATAATTTTTATTTTATATACCTTACAGCAAGTTATACTTGGTAAGGTTTTCTTCGTTTATTCAATACCAATATATATACTTTCAATTTATATTGTCGCGGACGCCACTGCCTATGCCACTGCCACGAGACTTTGGGTATGGAAGGGTGCCATGATTATGTTACTAGTAAACTTATGTTGAACATAGAGATTTGAACATGATGTTAGAAATGTACTTCACTTGTTAATTTACCATCTGACAGACAAGTCAATTAAAACTGATTCAATGATTCTGGCTTTTATATAGACACCACCCTGTATCATTGGGTTTTCCCAAAAGTGGGCGTGACAATATTGTCAACATTTTGAATAAACTTTATTAATATTATTATTGATTTATTTAGTTACCTAGGTATAGAAATTGTTACTTCCCATTAGAGGAATAATGGTGATTTCTCATGTTAGTGGTGGAAATAGTTATTTACCGAATAAGTGCGAAAATTTTCGAGTTATGCACAATGTTTTTCCTATGAGTGTTTTTGTCCATATTATTAAAGAAAAAAGAAGTTTTCAATGTACAAGATTTTATAATGAAGCTACAAAAAAAATCACTCAGTTGGTCCTAAATATCCTCATTTTTAACAGTACAAAAATCGTTCGGAAAAGTAACTTTTTAGCACTAGTGCGGTAAAGTCACTTTTCTGCCCGATTTTATCGTCAATTTCACTCGAATAGGAAGAGAGAGCAATGCAAGTGGATAAAATAATCGGAAAAATCACGTTGCCATAGCAAAGCTACCGTTTACTGTTCGTTTCTCAAGTGTTGCGCGTCGCATCAGTTTGGCAATTGTAAATGTCAAAAACAAATTTAAACAGCAAATGATATTCCAGTGAGTATGAGGAGATTTGAGAATATTTGCAAGGCAGAAATAGTAGAGGAGATTGAAAAATCTACTCCAGATGATACCAAAAGAAGTAATTCTTCCATTTGAAACCAATCTAGCAAATTTTGTAAACAACGAAACTTGGAAACCGAACAGTAGGGAATATTTTATTACATAACTAGCGTGGGAAGTGATATTTCACACGAGTGATATATAGTACGTCGCCGCGTAGCGGCGAGTGTGGAATGTAATGAGTGCATGAAATACACTTTCCAACGAGTTATGTAGGTACATCATTTTTCCTACGACCCGAAATATATAATTTTAAACACACTACACAAATACAAATTTCAAACATTCAATTGTTTTTTCAATTTTTTTTATTGTTATTAGAGAACAATTCATAAATGTAACAATATGGGGAATAGACAACCATATCCCTCCCCAAGGAGCAATTATTGTACTGGTGTAATGAGAACCTGACTAACAACTCACGCAGTAATGTGGATAATTAAAAATGCAACAAGTCAACAAGAGAACAAGTGAATACATCAGGGAAAACCCAGTTGCGCCTAATGAGAGCTCACTCAAGTCAATCCAGATGTAATCAAAAGTTGAAAAATTATTTGACACAAAAAGATTTGAGAATTCGGTTAGTTACAAAAATTATTCTTAGAAATCTTCGTGAAAACTCAAGTCTCCAACTGTGCTCGCAACCGGAAAATCGAGGAACCACTGTGAAACTGAACTCCGAAATAGGAAAGGAAAAGAAACCATCGGTGTTCAAATTGCTGTTTTGGTTGGATATCTAATTAAATCATCATATAGAAAAATGAATCCTGATAATTCTGTGACAAAAATATTTAGATTGGATTAATTATTAGGCTATTTTAACCGTCTATGAAGAAGAATGTAAGATCTGTTCAAATTAACATGGGTATTCTAACATTGGTCGAAGTTGCTTTGTAATTCTTTGTCAATGTGTAAGTCGCTTCAAGAAAATCTAGTCTAATGAAACTTCTGGAACTGGTTCGATATGAAATTTTTGAATTTTTATTGGGGCTAAATTTGTGGTTATTGAATATTGATTGTTGTCCAAATGCAGATTCTATCTATTTATTTATCCATACCTGCGGGCGGCCCCAGCGTCATCACCGTCATCTGCACCAAATCCCCCGACCGCCTGATCAGGTCGACCACGTGCTCGTGCGACGCCGATGCCACGTCCTCGCCGTTGATCTCCAAGAGGAAATCCCCTTTGCGCATGCCCGCCACGTCGGCAACGCCGCCGGGATCGACGTCGTCGAGGTACTGCAGCGCGGGGCACTTCTCCGACGGCGTGAGTTCCATGAGGGGCGAGGTCGCTTTGGCCCCGCGCAGGATGAAGCCGAAGCCCTTTTTGCCCTTGTGGAGGACCACGGTGCGCGGCTCGGCGGGGACGTTGGAATACCTTGTAACAATAATAATGTGATGATAATAATTTTTTGTCGACCTCTACAAAAAAACACATTTTACGTTTACGATTAATGAATTTTGTGATACAGCTGTACTGTCAAAAATTACAATAATTATTGTTGAATCCATTCAGTTTAATTCATGTACCAAATTTGATCCCAATCGGGTAATCCCTGTATTAAATACAAGCTGTCCGGCCCGGCTTTGTACGGTTGGTGTACCCATTTGAAAAAAATAAGACATTTGTTGCAGTCGTTCTGAGCTATGCGCGTATCTACAGTACATATTTTTTTGATACGTGAAAAATATTAGATTTTAGCTCACGGTTTTACCTCGAGCTAAGATCTACTAGTTTTTTCCCTTGTATAATAATACATCCAAAAATAATAAATGAAGTTTTTTGGCGCAAGGCGCCGTGGCGAAATGCCCTTAAGTATGTTTTTATTTTTTTGAGAGCTGAAAAAGATCGTTCACCAGAAGCATTAGAAATGGGTATCGTTAAGTAAATTCGTAATGGAGCTAAGATCTACTAGTTTTTTCCCTTGTATAATAATACATTCGAAAATAATAAATGAATATTTTCTTCATCATTATTATTGTACTGCTAGATCATCATCATCATAACTAAGAGATCTAGGATGGACAGAGTTGCCCCAATTGTCAGCAGGAGCGAGACAGTGCTGTTTCGACCCACCAGGTCTCATCAGCCGCTCTCGGTCTGCTGACAACTGGGACAACTCTACGCTTCGGGTATATCACCCATTTCGAAGACGCAGGGTATAACATGAAGTTATAGTCATGTTGTAGCCATCTAGTGGCAATAAAGCTCTAAGGTAGGATACAGAAATCGCGACACACACTGTATGGCGCTGTCATCTATAGTCACACGTACAGACCCCTACGTCTATACGTTACAGAGTGGTACTACAAGTAAACCACTCTGCTGACAGATGGCACTACCTGACATACTTGAGTGGAATTTTTCCACCACCTATTCAACTGCTAGATCTCATAACTAAGAGATCTAGGATGAGCAGAGTTGCCCCAATTGTCAGCAGGAGCGAGACAGTACTGCTAGATCTCTTAGTTATGAGATCTAGCAGTTGAATAGGTGGTGGAAAAATTCCACTCAAGTATGTCAGGTAGTGCCATCTGTCAGCAGAGTGGTTTACTTGTAGTACCACTCTGTAACGTATAGACGTAGCGGTCTGTACGTGTGACTATAGATGACAGCGCCATACAGTGTGTGTCGCGATTTCTGTATCCTACCTTAGAGCTTTATTGTCACTAGATGGCTACAACATGACTATAACTTCATGCTATACCCTGCGTATTATTATTGTACTCACAGTTTTTTGGCGCGAGGCGCCGTGGCGAAATGCTTGGAGGTGCTCTCCCGCCTGCCCAGAACCCTGTGGGCAGTCTGGCTGGGCGGCCGAGGGTCCTTGGCCACGATCATCGGCGTCGGGATGTTGTGGTGGCGCAGGCGCACCTCCTGAACGCAGGCGGCCGGGAAGTACCCCGCCGCCCTGTTGCCGCTTCTCACCTTGCCCTCCAAGAAGCCGTCGTCGGTGGCGGCGGTAACTGCAGAAGGTGTTTCGGAAGGGATTAGTGTGACTGATCCATAATATACAGTATGGTGGAAATGTATGTAATAAATTCATTATCTCTAACGCATATGAATTTGAAAAAAAATCCTGAGATAGGTCGATTTTTATTCTCAAATTGATACCTTTTGATATGCACACGGAGTTGGTAACGTCATCCGCGTAGTTGTGGTGACATCATCGATTATTTTTTTAAAATGGATACATCCCCTTTTCATTTCTTTTTTCGGAAGGTATTTTCATTGTCTATCCAACCATATACTGATATCAGCAAAATTAAGTAATACAGGGTGAGAAAAAATCATTACAGTGATACAGAGTGGCAATAGGCAAGAAGACTATTTCTTTACAATTTTTGTATAGAATCATCATTCAACTTCTTTTTGAAGCCATATTTGAAAAAAATGGTCGATTTTAAGGTCCTAGAATCATGAATAAGGCCACGTTATTTTCAAACGGCTAAAAATTCAACGCAAATGGACACTGACGTTATGATTTTTCAAGAAAGGGCAGACAATAGCACAGTTGTCATATGTTGAAATACCATTTTGAAATTTAGAAATATTATTCATTGAATAATTCGTGAATTCTCAATTATGTATTCTTAATATTCTTGATTAGTTATAAAAATCAATTTTCTCGAAATGTTCCCTCATATGTGTAGCTTATTGCTTATAATGAGTTTGTGAAAATGATGATTATATTAATTCACATAAGAACACATCTGGCAGATGAACGTGACTACACGGCAATGATCGAGGGCGTTGTCTTGTCAATAGTCAGTATTAAGAACATATTGCCAAGTCTCCAGCCAGCATTTACATATAGATATTTTGTTATGTAGTACATAAAATATTTTGAAAAGCTGGTTGCTCGGAAGTCATAAATGAATACCCTCGTGAATACCTAACTAAAATATCATGGCTTCCTTCTATTAGCTCGAATGGAATATCCAATTTGGATGTAGTTTTTATTCGAAGACAGGACTCCGACAACTTTTCAATTACTTGATTGTAATTGGTGACAGTAGCCTACGGTGACGGAAACACGTGAAAGATCTGTGTAGTATCATAATTTCATATTATTCGATAAGTCATTAAACTGAATCTAACCGCCTCATTAGACAAGCACTCCTCTCAAATCGTAATATATGGTTACTCACGATACTATTTTTATTTCAGTTTTCAGAAAAACTCGTTAAAATACGTAAAATGTCGAGAATAGTCCAGGCACTCTCACACGAAAATTGTCCGAAATTCTCACAGCACACCTTACCTACTACAACAAACCCACCTTCAATGATATCTCCTTCCCTGATGCTGATATGCCCCTCCTCCTTGGAGGAGTACGCCTCCACGCACACCACGGTGCTTCCCGGCATCCACAGCGTGCAATTGGTGGTGGTATCCGAGTTGGCCGTGCCCACGCCCGAGCTGTCGCTGATGATGTCGCTGGTGTCGCCGAGACTCTTATCTGCAACGCCCAGTGCGAACACTGAGTGATAGGCGATCATTTGTAAGGGCACAAGGCCGGGGCGGGGTAAGGATTCATAGTAAGACTTGAAGGCGAGACAAATACGATATATTGAGGGCTTTTTCATTTTCATGAAGATGATTTGTCACTCTTAATCAAGCAACTATATCAATGAATATGTGTATTCGAGTTCTCAAACTCAAATTGTCGCTGGGCGTCGCAGGGCACAAGGCCGGGGCGGGATAAGGATTCATAGTAAGACATCAAGGCGAGACAAATGCGATATATTGAGGGTTTTTTCATTTTCATGAAGATGATTTGAGTTCTCTATCTCTCTAAATCAAGCAACTATATCAATGAATATGTGTATTCGAGTTCTCAAACTCAAATTGTCGCTGGGCGTCGCAGGGCACAAGGCCGGGGCGGGATAAAGATTCATAGTAAGACATCAAGGCGAGACAAATACGATATATTGAGGGTTTTTTCATTTTCATGAAGATTATTTGAGTTCTCTATCTCTCTAAATCAAGCAACTATATCAATGAATATGTGTATTCGAGTTCTCAAACTCAAATTGTCGCTGGGCGTCGCAGGGCACAAGGCCGGGGCGGGATAAGGAGCCATAGTGAGACTTCAAGGCGAGACAAATACGATATCATGTAGGTTTTTTCATCTTTATGAGGATGATTTGAGTTCTTTATCACTGTAAATCAAGCAAATATGTCAATAAATATGTGTATTCGAGTTCTCAAACTCAAATTGTCGCTGTTATCGCCAAGAATCTGACCTGCAACGCCTAGTGCGAACACTGAGTGATAGACGATAATTTGTAAGGGCACAAGACCGGGGCGAAATAAGGATTCGTAGTATGAGACTTCAAAACGAGACGAATTCGATATATGGAGTTTTTGCATTTTTATGATGATGATTTGAGTTCTCTACCACTGTAGATCAAGCAACTATGTCAATGAATTCATGTATTAGGGGTCTCAAACTCTAATTGTCGCTGGTGTCACCGAGACTCTTATCTGCAACGCCCAGTGCGAACACTGAGTGAAAGGCGATAATTTGTAAGGGCACAAGGCCAGAGAGGGATAAAGATTCATAGTGTGAGACTTGAAGGCGAGACAAATACGATATATGGAAAGTTTTTTCATTTTTAATATGATGATTTGAGTTCTCTATCACTGCAAATCAAGCAACTATGTAAATGAATACATGAAATCGAAGTCTCAAACTCATATTGTCGCTGGAGTCGTAGAGACTCTTACCTGCAACGCCCAGTGCGAACACTAAGTGATAGGCGATCATTTGAAAGGGCAAAAGGTCGTGTCTTCGAACTGGACAGCTTACCGTGTCCTCAAATGGGGATAGCCTATTCTCAACTTATATGATGTTTATACCGCTCAGATTGTTTTCATTTCCATCTCATATCAAACTCTCATATATGTTATTGAAAATGAGCAAACCATCTCAGTAATATTCTGAGGAAGTGGGGGTATCAATAAAATGAACATTATTTATGACAGTGAGAATATGGTCGTGTAGTAACTGCAGCAACTGTCCAATTTACTCTGTTGTGCATGTAGACAAACAGGTGAATTTTGAATTCTGATGATTCAATCAATTATTTTTTGAATATTTCATACTCTAGGATTCAGCAATGTCTTTATTGACAGTGTTGACCTGCCTTCGTCCTGAGTTCTTAGTTTCCTGGGATGTAATGGCAATTCTGGAAGAGAATGCAATATGGAGAGTATTATGTCATCCGCATACCCGTGGATAAGTCAGGTGGTAACTCTCAACAAATCATTGATATGAAGTAGGAACAATAAAGGTACCAAAATAAATCCTTGGGGACCACCGGAACTGATTGATGTGATATCAGACGAAACTCCACATATAGAGCGATATGTTCCAAGGAAAACTCGGTAGAAGAAGGAAGTCGTTTGTGTCAAACACAGTCAAAGGTTTTCGATATATTCAACGATACAGCTAGATATTCTAATCATTTGGGTTCGTAAAAAGATGAAAGTTTACACTTACATGTGAAGGGTGAAGGGAAAAAACTAGGAATGTCACAATAACTTCGTTTTGAGATAATCGTATTTTTCCAATTAACACCGGATTACTTCCAAACTATTAATGTTAAAATAATGACATAATTCTATATATAAAGTAAAAGTATATTCTCATATATTTTATGAAAATTGAAACAAACAAATGTATTCGTTATGCAGAAGAAAATAATAAATTCTCACAAGAACATATTAATTTGGATAAAAACGAGGAATGTCAAACACATTCTGGAGGAAATAACAAGTTACCCAATGTTATCATTGATGAGGTAATTCTGTGAAGTAAATCTGTGCTTCAGGTCCACAAAATCTCTTCAGAGTCATCGAAATTCTGAATTTTTCTGCTGGAACTGGCAATAAATCTCGAAAAAAAATCCAGAATGCATAAAAAAGCGTTAAGTACTTGAGATTAAAATTGAATTCGCCTCTGTATGCTGGCAATGGAAGTTTGAATTCACCTTCTCGCAGATCATTGCTGACTTCAACGCGTTTTTTTGGAACTGTGATAGGCTTTTGCTCCCAGTTACCATGGTATGAAATTCTATAACTCATCAATCTCGAATGTTCCTTAGTTGTTTCGATTTCCCTGATAGTTTGTACTGGAAATGGACATTTTTTGACATATAGTTTACTGAAAAATGTATCCCACTATTGATGAATCACGTTGATTCCGAAGACAAAAACTCTTGTTTACTTCTGATGCGGACGTGACTGACGATTAGATAGCAAAGACTGATTTAAATTGCGAAGAATTCGGGTTGTGTGTACCTACTGATATTGACTCTCCTAGTTCTTTGAAATTTCCGGGCGGACATTCCGTGTTTTTACCCGTTCTACGATATTTCAAGGCATGTTTACTGATAGACTATACGAGTTTTTAGCAGACTTATGGGTAGAGAATATCGAGAACGAATCTGTCTTCGTGAAGCAATGCATATCTCAATTTCTGTAAAAATATGACATTCCTTGTTTTTTCCCTTCACCCTTCATGTGAGGTTAATTTATTGTACAAGTATTTCACTTAAAAAGCTACTGTATGAAATGAAATATCGTGTTGGAAATCTAATCGTTTGTGAAGTTTTTCACAATGACGACATCAAATTCAAAATAATGTCAATGCTGTGAAACGTTGTGAACTGTTCTCAGTGCAATGTATCAAATGGAGATGATAATTCTCAAATGATACGATCTGGGCAGATTTTGAATCCTTTTTCTTCAGTTTCTTCTTTATTATTTGAAAAGTTGATTACTTATCAGTCTATACTTCTTATTACCTACTCATATGGATATAGATGATTTATTGTTGATTTCCTCAATATTTCACAATATCAATCATTGGAGACACATTGTAATAGTTCTTAAACAAATAAAATAAAATCTATGGGAGCCATTCATTAGTTAGAGCAAGTGTGCATGAATATTCATGTAGAATCACATTCAGGGCACATTCTTTTATGCACATGCTTCAACAGGATTCTGAAAGTTGAAAGTAGTTCAAAGTGATATACGCAATATCAATCCCGATATACGAGTAATACCTACATAGATTCTTTCCAACTACTTTGTTGCCTTGATAATCAAAAAGCCCTGATGCCTCTATGAATTGAAGTTTAGGAAAAAAATACCTATCATATCTAGAATGCTTATTTCAATCGTTTTTAAAAAAATAGCATCTCTTTTCGAATATGAAATAATGTACTATTTATTGACAAAATACGGGGTTTATATAAATGATCGAAGCATCTCAGAAGCTGTTGAAAAAGTGCCGCTATCTGCTTATGTTGTTTGCAGGCATTAATGCGACCGAATGTTTTATAGTTCGATCTTCATAAGTGGAAAGCGACAAATCAATTACATATTTCAACGGTCTGTATATACGATGCTATCATCATTTATAGAGACCCATATCCATAACCTATTGATGGATAGTTGATTCCAGATTCTCTCAACTCCAAGGCTTCAAGAGTGACATCTCATGTACTATAAAAATACTTGAAATATACAAAACCAGTGAATTACCAAATCAAAGAATATTAGGAAGTAATTATCTTTAGTTGAGGGATAACGAGATTAAACATGATATCGACAATAAGTATAGTTTCAAAACTGCCACTGAAACAAAAATATTTCGAAAAATTATCGATTAGTTTAGGAATATAAAGGAGAAATATAACCTCATGGGCCAGAAAACTCATCTTAGAACCTCAGCATATTACAACTTTCAGAATCCAACGAGTAAGAATATATAGAGGTAGGAAAAAATTGAAAGGAAGCACATAATTAAGGGTGTCTCATTCGAAATGGAATAACCTGGAATAACTCTTGAAAGAAATACACTGATGATCAAAGAAATCAACGCACATCCAAATGTTCATTATACAATATACTATTCGATGCGTATTATAGTTCAATTCAATTTTTTTTGCATATTTAAGTACTTGCTTCATCGTATTTCTGGTTTAACCGGATACAACCCCAAATTTCGATATGTTTATTTTACTTATTTCGATATAGAATGACACTCTGAATCCAACATCTCACCTGTCATTGTTCGACGAATAAAGTCAGTTTTATTTCAATTTTTGATTATTCGATCCAGAATGCCAAGGATTGTTTGAATCGATTCATTATTGATCAAGTATCATGGAAAAAATTCGACTTTGAGGAATATGACTTTACAGTCGTTCTAAGAATTATTATTTGAAAGTTGCAAATATGAATGTTTCCAGTTAATTTAATTTTTTCAATTGGAATAGGGGTGGGCCGTAGGCTTCATGTGAAATATATTGTTTTTTACAAATAATTTAGATGTAATGTAAAGTTGGGGTCTTTTCCAGTGGAACAGAACGTACGGCAAATCAAGTAAATATGTCGAAAAACGAATATTGAGCTAAAATACACAACCCCCAAATTTCGTTATGTTATGTTATGTTTTCTTAAATAATGAAACAGTTATAGAAGTGCGCCACCTTGGAGAATCACCCGGTAGAATAGCCCACTTCGCACCCTAAGCGTATAATTTACTATTTTTAACATGGAACGAAATAAATAAATATCCTGCACATCAAAAACATCCAGGACAATATTTTGAGGGGTTCTATACATATATAAATATACCACCTCACCATGTCCTGTAAAGTTGTGGAGACAATTAAAACGAGTTATTGCCGTCGTTACGTCACTGTGACTGGTGTTTGGACACATGATCTCGTGATTAAATGATTGTCCAAACAGGAATTGGCCACTTAGAAGTTAGTTAAAAACGAATTTGTAATAATATAACATGGGTAATGCGATCGCGATTTCATTAAGGTGCCCAGAAGTTAATAGACTTACAGTATAGATAGCTTTAGCTTGAGTATAAACTAAGTACTCATCTTCAAGGAATCTTTGACAATATTTCAAAATTTGTAATAGATTAGGTTTACTAGGAAGGTCTGTTCTGATCTGGGTGAACAAAATTGTGTTTATATTCTTTTGAAATTAATCTTGATTTTTCGGTAGTATACATTTGAGTTGATTTTCAAATTGGCTTGAGGAATGCGAACATGCTACAATATTTGTTGAATTCATTACACATAGAGTATATGTTGGTGTATCAACCGATACATTAACGGTTCAATTCTCGGTGTATATTTTCCTTTCAAGAGCTACTCCCCGCACATTCCCCATCGAACGACCCACCCACATAAATACGTATCAATGAACAATATGGATAATCTCTGTTTCCATAGCGCAAAAGGAGTTTTTTGAAGACAAATGACTATCCATAATCATAAGGTGATATACTGTGCATGATCAAATGCGCAAGTTCAAGTGACATACACATCTTCGTGACATCTAACTTATCAATCTTCGACATGACAATTATGGATATTTATGCATTATTTAGTTTTCTCATCAGTATACTCTAAAATATGTTCATTGAAATACTGCAGTAAGAGTATTTATTTGTTAATATTAGTAATCAGATGGTATCTTCTGACCATCGGTTTGACCATGCAGCAATTTGGGGATATCGGTCACGTTTCAAACCTGCCCACAAAGTTACCACGTTAACTTTTGATGGGAGTCGAGTCAACCATTGGCCATCCTGGCATCACCACTGTGGTTGAACGAATTACTAGACACAGCCATAATAAATTAATACTATATCTTTTGATTATGGTGGATAGAAAAGGGCATCAAGAATTATCCCCTTTTATTCCAACTACTACTGTAATATAACCACATTTTCAATGGGCTAGGATTACTACTTATTTGATGTTGAATATTATGTAATGATCAGATGTTATTATTCTCAAATAGTCCAGACAGACTCTGAATATTCATAATATCCATCAATACTCTGCTACTGAACATGTCCGCGAAACGTAAACAGAAACAAGAGAATGTCATGACATAGATATATAGAGAGTCAAATGGTGTTATCACTTCTTATTGAAAGGAGTTTCGAAATCTATCGATATCGCCAACTTTGTAAAAATATCTTGGCGTGGGAGAATCATGCTGAATTCTCGAAGTTTCAAACTAAATTTACGGTCATCATGACACATTCATTTGAGTTCACTTTTTCATTTTCATCATTTTTTGTGTAAATGGAAACGGTGCGTTATATTTTCGACTTTCAGTGGTGAATTCATGAACGACACGATGTCCTAGCTCATGAAAATTCTGTGATAATAGTTTATTCCCTCACTTTTGGTACATAAAATAAAACGAATGTTCGGATTTTCAAATAATTCTCACATATCGTAGAATGGTCAGTTCATGATGAAAGCGCAATACTCTCAACTACGGTATATAGTATCAATACCTGCTTAATAAACTACTACTGTTCTTAAGAATTATCATTCATAAGAATTTATAATATTTCTATTTGAAAGGACCCCGCACCATTCACATTGAAATCTTGTCTACGGTGAAATTTTGTGAACATCTAGGATTGGAACGATGGAAAATCTCTTGGAAAATTTCAAAATGCATTTCGAATCTTATTATGAAGTTGAACTAGACTTTCAAGAATGTGTTTTCCTTTTTTCCTAGCTGAATAGACGCATCTAGAGATAGGACGTAAAAGAGACAGAGCGCAACAAATAATCCGGAAACATCTTGATCGTGATCTTGATCCTTGATCCGTTGATCGTGTTTCCACATATCTGTCATGTCACGAGTGTCACTTTTTCGGCATATTCATGATTTTGTTTAAAGGACCCCGCATCATTTACATTGATATCTTGTCTACGGTGAAATTTTGTGAAAATCTAGGATTGGATAGATCAAATCATGCTGAACAAAAAATGTCCTCTGATCCAAGGTCCGTTATGCCCGTCGAAAGAAGTTATAAGCTCTTGAAGCCGAATGAGATAACCTCTACCAGAACAGCACATCCTGTGTAAAGTTATTGAGCAAGAGCGTATCACTTTGTTCAAATACGTAGCAGTTCCACACTTTTTTAATGATGTGCATATTCAAGGGGACATGTTTCGGGTTCAGAAAAGTCCATCTTCAGCCCAATTAAGGAGTTACTACAAGCAGAAAGAAGATGAAAATACATTTCAGAAAAAAATGATTTTTTTATACTTAAATGGAAGTGAAACATTTTTAAAGGTTGGTGCCAATACCCAATATCATAATATCATTGTCAAAGTTCGAAACATTTTGAGAATAAACGGGTTTTCATAAACATGGAGGGCCCCGTGCCCTGAGAGGGCGTACCTATTGAATCACAAGTCAACTCCCGGGAGGGAAGCTTGCAATGTCTCCTCAAGCTTCCCTCCCGGGACTTGACTGGTGATTTAATAGGTGGTACCCGATCTGAGGGCACGAGGCGTTACCACCGATACAACAAGGCCTGCATGCTCCGTGGGTGACGTCACTTAGTGAGGCCTAACCAGCGGCTCGAAACGACAAGCGCTTATAGCGCTATAAGGCGACCGCGTATTTCGGTTTTAGTTTTAGATCATCATTGAGCCGATTTTGCTGTTTTTTGAAGGGCTTATTCCGTTCAAAAAAGGATGCCAGTCGTCAACTGAGCCCTTCTTCGCACCCCATTAGATTTTATTATGGAAAAATGAAGTTTTAAAGCAAAAACCAGGATAAAACACAAATATCCACCTACAGCAACCCATTCGAATTAAATATATTGGCAAAAATTGTGGTGAAGGTAAACTTCACACCTACTCATACAGGGCCCGCAGAACATAAACTTATCGTGAGATTGATCGAAAGAAAATTGTGGAAAATGTATTTTATTTTGATTGACATGCCGTTTGTTACAATTACCTCTTGGAGAATTCCTATTACCTGAAAAAATAACCAGTGAGTGTTTTCAATTTTCTGTTGTTGGATTTTTCACCCAAGTGGATCGTTACACTTGAAACCGTAATTTTTAAGGGTAAAACTGCATTTATCATGCGATGGTTTTTTTTTGAAATTTTTTTTCGGTACTTACGTATTTTTGTCTGATAAACCGAATTTTATAATGAAAATGTGAACAAACCACTATTTATTGAGATATTTCAAGAAAAAGTTCGAAATTTCGCCTTCTTTCTCCCCTTGTGTTGGGGGCATTTGAAGCTACTTGCTCTTATTTTGTCATGATGTACTTCGATGGCACATTTTTATATAGAAAATTCAACAGGAAATATGATTTTTATGGCGAGTTTTTCATATTTAGTGAACAAGCATTCCAGATGACGACCATTTAATCAATAGTCAATCAAAATACGAGATGTCAAATGTCAATAGATTGCTTTCAAATGAATTATGAACATTCAAGAAAATTTCCTCGAATTCAGAGATGATGTTGTTGACTATAATATACGAATACAAAACTAACTGCACAATCAAAGCTTTTCTATTTTTCCTCTACTTATACTTTTTATGAGAGAGTAACTGTCTTCCATTATTAATTCATCATTATAAATTGAGCTCTGTTTACTACTGAACTTAGATGGAGTAAAATCCTCGCGGTGAATTGCATATACCCACATTTTCGATAGCTCCTCGTCCAACGGGAAACTAAAAGCATGAACTTTTGAACCACCCACATTATTCCCCCGACAAAAGGGACCACAACACTTGAAAGGCATTGTTATTTCGCCGATCACAACACAAAATATTTCACAAAACAGTAATTTTTCCGCCAATTATTTTGATGAATAAACATCAAAAGAATTCGCGACCGTTTCAAAAACATACGTGAATCACCGATGAATTAACACGAACTGACGCGTTAGTCGACAAGCGAAAACATGAAACACTGGCCTCTCTTGGTGACGTCACGAGCTGTTTACGTCAGAGTCTGCTGGCCTTGTTGTATCGGTGGTTACGCACGGGGCCCTTCATGTTCATGTGAACCCGTTTATTTTCAGAATGTTTTGAACCTCGACAATGATATTATGATGTTGGGTATTGGCACCAACCTTTAAAAATGTTTAACCTGTGACCTCCATGTAAGTAAAACATTTTTGTTTTTTTTCTGACATGTATTTTTATCTTGTCTCTGCTTATAGTAACTTCTTTATTGAGGTGAAGATGGACTTTTCTAAGTCTATCTCCTTGAATAAGTACATCTTCAAAAAAGTGTTGAGATGACTTTGAGCTTTCCTTCTTTCCATTCCACTCCACTTTAAGCGAACATCGACTTCTACCAGAGATCCATATTGTTAATTAATATACGTATCTGCCCACCCCGCAGTCCAATTACCTGTCACGATGCTGGCAGTGTCCGTGTCTTGGTGCCGGCCGCTGCCCTCGCTGAGGCTGGAGCTGGCCGAGCTGAAGCACGCCGCCGCCGACGACCTGTCGCTGGGACAGGGGCTGGGCGGCAGGTTGGGCGGCTGTGGCGCCCGCGACAGCCAGGAGCGCCGCTTCGAGTTATAGGCGGGCGGGTCGCGGTAGGGGACTGAAAATAATAGGTCGGTGGTTGGGCGGGCGGTGAAGGATTGTGTGTGCGTTGGGTGGGTTGATCGGGATCGTTCTATGGTGATAGGGGCACTTACAATACTCGGAGTTGAAGTGGCCCATTAGTATATTATTTAACGAGCATGGAATGCTAGTGATTTCTCACGAGAATGGAGTTTGCAGCATGAGCCACAGGCGAATGTTGCACCAGTAGGAAATCAGCATTCCATGCAAGTTATACAATATAATTTTTCTACGACTATAATAGATAACAGCGGCATTAGACAGAGCTGTCATTGCCTGAAATTCTACATGCCATGGGAGTTACTTTTGTTTTTGAAATAATATCACTATGGAGTTATTGTGATATCAAATACGGAAATAAAATTGATGAAATACAAAGTCCCTCAATGATGTATCAAACACAGTAAAACAAGAGCAATCTTGTGTTATAGCCGTAGAAAAATTCCTTTGTACTCCAGTTGAATAGGGGTTTCACCTCGGAGGGGACGATAATTAGCTGGAAACTCGTATACACTTTCATTTTGCCGTTTCAAGCGTTGTCTCAAAAGTCCCATGAAATCTCATGGCCCGTGCGACGTTATTCAAGGTGAAAGGTAACGAAATTCATTTTTTCACAATTATCTAGGTTTCTATAGCTTGAATGATATTGACACCTGAATTATACGCATTTTAGAGCATGAAATTTTCGAAAGACTTTATTCCATAGATTGTTTCATGCGCTTATCAACTGTTCTTGAGATAGAAGGCGGAGTGAGTGCAGCGTCTTTGTTTCTATTCGGTGGCACAGCCATACATACTGCAAGGAGTAATCGACTCTCCCAAAAACGTAGGATTGGACCGATATTATCGGATATTATTGAATATTGAAAATACGATATTCTACATTTGCGTTGCGAGAATAAGAATATTGGGCTAAAAATGGACCTTGGATTGGACAGATTTCATCGGCATTGGACACTAAGTTTACACATATTGGACATAGTATAGTTGACCTCCTTACATACTGTAATACAGGGTCAACTGCTCGATGAATAATACCCTGTATGAAGTTAGATCCATCAAGAGTTATTTTCCATTTCTTTGTCGTAAACAGAAGCAGAATTGTTTCCAGAACGTCCAAAGATGGGTGGAATTTTATATTATTCCAATAATTCATTTCCTTTTTCTCGAAACATTTGTGTTTTAAGGTGTCACCTACTAAATCGAATGATTTTTTCCTTAGTTTTCTGATTCAGAAGTCATAAGCGCAGTGACATTTTGGATAAAATCATCTGATCTCACTTTGCATAACAATCTATGGCATAACTTGAAATGCATTATTGTATGCATTCTGTAGTTATAGGATCATACATGAGTTTCGTCTAGTAAAATTTTAGGAACAGAATCAAGGATATTTGAAACTTAAAATATATTATGCTTTTGGACCAAATATGCATTGCTTAAGTATGTACAGGGTGATTGTCTATATTTTACTCAATAGCTATCTCACTTGAAATTAGTCTTACAGAAACGTTCAAATTGGCAAAAATGGAGTATATACTTCATGAACATTCCGAATCTAGTACTAGGAAATGGAAAAAACCATCGTAAACCTAAAAAATTCACATAAATTGGTAATTTTTGTATGCAACGACACCATGATTTTAATTTTCCTAATCGGTAAAGAACTTTCTTCTGATCTAAAATATATATACTTCGTTGAGGTTATCTTTTGTGAGTTCTACAGCTGCCTTAGAACCTATATTACTCGAAAACTGACAAAGATAACCTCAAAAAAGTATATTTATTTGAAATCAGAAGGAATAACTCTCCCACTAAGCAAATTTGGAAGCTATGTGGATGCAAGGTTGTAGCAATTACTGAAACGGACGTTCAGCAATATTGCAAATGTAAATTTGTAGATGAAACGTTCCAGCAATGTCACAGCAACATGTAATATTGCAGCAACGCTCCATTATCGGACTTCACCTTTGCAATATTGCTGAATATCCGTTTCAGTAATTGCTTCAACATTCCATCAACATAGCTTTCAACTTTACTTAGTGAGCTACAGATTAGGAAAATAGAGTACAGGGTATTCAATTGAAAACATATCAGACTATGTATAATTTTTAAGTTCACGATGTTTTTCTGCATTAGATTCTGAATGCCCATCAAAATACTTCATTTTTGCCTATTTGCATGTTTCTGTAAGACCAATATTTACTGAAATAGCTATTGAGTAAAATATAAACAATCACCCTGTACATTAATTGATAAATAACACAAATTATCAATTTTTAATGATATTTAGATGATTTCATAACATTATACAGAGTAGGTATTATTTACGGAGATTCACATAATGATCTTGCATTACAAAGCAGTAGGTATGTATTGCTGAGAGCGAGGTTTTCTCCGCCATCAATCTCAAATTCCCTGTGCTCTACAATTCCTATAATAGGTGTTGACATCATTGGATCTATAGAAACCTAGATGATCACAAAAAACCCGAATTTTTTGCCCATTGACCTACAATAACTCAGACGCAGAACTATATTTTATGAGACTTTTGAGACAACTTTGAGAACCTCAAAGTGAAGGTGTATACGAGTTTCCAGCTTATCTCTCATTAAGAGGTTGAATGACTGGAGTATTGCGCCCCGAATTGGATCAGTAGATAGATTTTGGCAGGTGCATGGTCAGGTGTATGGAAACTTATCGAAGTGAGAATACCGTGATTCCAGTAAAAAAAGTTGAGGAAATGATAACTACAAAAGATACGTTTCGCGGTGGTTTCATGAGGATTTCAATGAGCATCCTCGAAGAGATATTCCATTCACATTCCCTTAGTGAACCCAGTTGAAGTATTCAAGTGTAGGTATAGTGGGAGACATTTATGTCCTAATGAGGTCAACATTAACCGTTTATATTTATTTCTGTTTAGATCCCCTTCCAGAAAATATCAAAAGCCATTTATAAGGGAGGGAAGGCATCCATTTCCTCCCCCGATTGTGTGGAGAAGAATCACATGGGAGGAAATAAATCTTTACTTCCATGATAATTCTTGAAATTGTGCTCCAGGCGATCGATCTCGCGATCCGAACCATTATGCGTTACTATATGCCATAAGCAATCGACGGCATTTGAACGAAAGTCGATTCACCACTTATGTCGTCATGAATCAATGAATTTGAATATTGTGTAATTGCAATTAAAGTGTTTGATGAGTACGTTCTGAATATAAAAAGCGTATGATATCATTGGGATTCAAAAAGGATATTGTTATTTGTTTTATAATACCATGATACTGATTAAGACATAGACCGGAAGCCCACAATAGCTATTTATAAATCAAGAGAGCAAATATATCCATTTCAGATATCAATTGGATGTCCATAGGATGTCCCAGGGACGTACGAATTATTCTTGTATTTGAATTTTTCTGGGTCCCTCTAGGACCAGAACTAATCCGATGGATGTCCCTAAAGTAACGTCAAAATCATATCCCATCAGGGACATGCCAAGGACGTCCTTGCATGGACATTCTACAATATGTTCCACGTACGTGGGACGTCTGAGGAATGCTATTATTAGGACATTTGAAATGATGTACCTGCTGGGACATTCCGTGGTCGTCCTTGCTCGGACATTTCATGAGATGTACGGGATGAGACGTCCCAAGGACACTTATTCTTGGTCCGGAACATTCGGACTTGAATTGTACCAAATATGGACGTCCTTAGGACGTTGTGTGCTATTAGGGTATGTCACTCTATGATTATATTTATATTGAAACTACAATTCGAACATCCTTGAAAATTGAATAAACCTGATCTGTTAATGCAGGTAGAAGATTCTCACCAAACGGATTATTTGTTTGATCAAAAGTGACTTTATTTGACTCGCAAATTATGCATTCGCGAGGCGGAGCGTCTAGCAGAGCCGAGCAAACAAAGTGTCACTTTTGATCCTAATAAAACAATGTACCATTGTTCAAGTTCGGCATTTTGTTAATTCAACTGTGAACCCCATTCATAGAATTTTTTCATTGACTCTATCGATTTGATTCGGCCTTCAATAAGGAGAGTAATATTATCAAACAAATAGCTATCAATAATCAGTTTCCCTTGGATCATATTATGAAGATTTATTTGAAATTTTGCACCCGTTTTAGATTAATTTTCAATGTCACGTTTTCTCAAGTTCCTGATCCCCCGGATTTCAAATCCCTGCATATTTCGGTAATTATTCGGTACAAATTGCTAAGATTATCAAAAATTTCATTTTCAACATTCCCAACAAAACTTCTTCCAATCTCCAGCATTTACTCTTCAATTACTAAGATAAATTCTTCGGACAGAAAAGTCCGGTGTACACAAATTCAATTGTAATAATTGTAACTCTTCTCATATAGGCCAGACGGGTAGTAGCTTTGAAACTCGTACCTCGGAACATAACAGACTCATTCACAAACTCAATTCAGATAATCCTATTACCTCATCCTTTGCAAATCATATTATTGATTCCAACCATTCTGTTGATGTCAATTACAATATGGATATTATTATGTTTGCATCCTTTGCAAATCATATTATTGATTCCAACCATTCTTTTGATGTCAATTTCAATATGGATATTATTATGTTTGCAATAAAGGTCCAAGGCTGAACCTTCTTGAAATTTTAGGAATTCAAAAATGTATCAACTACTCAAATGTCACTTGTCTCAATGATCAAACCAATTTTGAACGTAACCAAATTTTTCGCATATTGAAGTTCTCGTGATTTTTACCTTATTATACTTTAACTTAGTCCGGTTATGTTTTTCCCTCTAATATCTTCTTCTTCTGATTTTGATGGTATTCCTACCACGGATTACTACCTCTCCTTCAATCTGATTCATCAAATTTCGACCTGATCACATGTTTCTCATCAACTAATTTCAAAATTTTACAATTATTAATACATTGTTCACCTGTAATCATTCTAGCTACAATAATTCTCATTGCCCAATATTAGTAAGGTCATACAGTTCAGTACTTTCATTTGGTTTGTATCACTTGTCACTTAGTCATTCTGTCATGTCGTTCTACACTTCACCAATTCTTTGCTTTTACCTTAGTCGAATGGCCACAAGTGATGATGAAACTCTTGTTGAGTGAATTTCGATTTATAATTTCAAATTTCCAATTCCTGCTCTGACCGATGTTGAATTGCATTATTGATTTGCCCTTCAGCTATTTCGTCGATTTGAAGGACAATATACTTAATTATCTGCCTGATTTTCCGATTTTGATCTAGCTTTCAGTTAAACTTATCTCTACATGTATTCTTAGGTAAGTTTTTTCCTCAGTAGTCCATTGTCTGTTTGAAATTTATAATCTTTACAGTTATTTTTATGTGTCTGAAGATGGCCGTTGAGCCATAACTAGTCACAAACATGATTCGTTAATATAATTTTTGTGGTCGACCGACTTTGTGTTTTACTGTTTTTTCTTTGGAACAATATTGGACCTCTTCGAGAAGGATGGATGGTTTCAAAATGCTAAACATGAACAAATGGCGACATACACCGAACGGTAAGTATTGAATCGGGACCCCAGGTTCTTAAATATAAACCACCCACGCCCCACCCTTTAGTGGAAGGTGGAATTGAGGGGGTTCTTATACTGCTGAGTGTGAACAAATGAGACACAAAAAAACAAGTTGTGGGCTCCCGGTCTAGCACTGATTACTTATATTGCACTGATCTCAAAGGTATATAGATATATGGACGCCAAAGGATACATGCTGAAGCCAACTCATTTGACCTCCCACGGGAGTGTCTGAAAAAATTAATTTGTTTGCAACCCAATCACTGATTGACGATTTAAAGACTGTTTTATTAGGAGGGACAGAGATTTCGCCACTTCCAACTGCAGAGTTTTCAAAATTTCCATTTTTGACTTTGTCACACTCCACTCAATCTCAATCCAAAACAAATCTGATTGGCGGATTCATGAATTAAAAAGTAAGAGCAGATATAAGGAAAGTTGACCTAAACGGAAATGACGTCACGATTAGACACACTAAAATGGGATTATCAACTTCATCCGAAACGGGCAAGAGGTGAATGAAATATCCTTCAAGAGTTCAAGGCCAATTGGTGACACAAAGTTTCTAATTAGCGCCTCTAGTGACAAACTTTGTGTCTTCGATAGAGGGTTGTCAGCGATAAACGAATGACTTAGTGAGCATGATCACACTGAAATATCTCAACTAACTTGATTCACATCCATACATTATAACAAATAATGGATGGAAACACACGTCTGGTATTTATCAGGAACTTCGATAAGTAGGTACATATATAATCGATATTTGACAGATAATTAGAGCACAGAAAATCTATATTTGATGGAATGATACCTAATCGATGAGACAATATTTTCTTCATCTTACAATTGAAAAACAAATACTATTACTGGTGATCGATCAGGACAATAATAGGTAAGGGAAAGCTAGGTAGGTACTCAAATGAATATATACGTATCGTTGTAGGGGAAAACATATGCCTTGAAGATCTAAATCATAGTAATTGCTTGGGTATAGCTCCCACACTGGTTTAATCACTTCACATAATCAAAGATATAATACCATAATTCCTATGTAGGCTGATGGTTGATCTCTGGCTAATGCTTGATAAATAGGATTGAAGGTTTTTGGAAGAACAGAAAGTGTTGTAAAATTTTAGTTTTCTCATGCTGAAACAATTATGCTGTACGATCATTATACAACGTTATGAGTGATATAAAATAAATTGATTCTTACCAAAAATACATAAAATATGACATATTTTTTTTCCATAACCAAACACACTTCCACTCCTCTTTGTACAGAATACTACTTTTTAGATTTGGTAATGGCATCCGTACTTCGAGATCATCGGTTATACACAGAATTCTTGTAGTATAATAAACTATATGAATTACATTGTTTATCTTCCAGACCATACTATTTTCTAATACTCTTTCAAACATTAATAGATGGTGAGCCACGTTCGTGAAAGAACGAAATGAGAAGTTTTTCAAATGATAATCCTTGGTTAGAGACGAGTTAGAGGTTTTCACTGCGAATTCAACGTTGCCAATCGGGTTTGATACATGTACCTACCCTTACAATCATCATCCTGTAGTGCATCCGTCTGATACTACTATAAATAGTTACTAAGAGTGCATGGGTTAATCCGTTTATTGAAACCAAATCAAAATTTGTTCAGAAATTGGTGAGTGATTCTAATTTGTATTTGAGCTAAATTTTGCAATACGACGTTCATTTTATTGACCAATTTTAAATCACTTTATCATAACCATAACAGTTATCACCATATGAGCTTGTAAATTATATTGATCCGTCTATTATGCTTTGGAAAGGACCGTTACACTACTTATTTTGTGAGAAAAATTCATTTTCCGAATGAAAGAACGGTATGTATAATGAGTCTCAAAATTTGGCGGTACCGAAACGTAAGGTCGATGTCAAAGTCAAAAGTCTCTTGATTTTGCCTCAAACCCATACCATAAGTTATGGTAAGACTTCAGCAGACTTGCGTCTCGTACTCTCAATATTGAACTTTACGCGCAATTCTTACCATTGACAGAGAAGATATCATGGAAAGAGACCAAAATACACAAAAAAAATATTTTGGATTATTGAACATGAAATGGTCGGGTAATATGAAATACCTGAAGCGATTATATGCGATGTCTACTAACGGCAAAATCGGAAATGTAGTTATCGTTATCGCATTGGTACACAGTTCGTCTGCACGAAGTTTGCATCTTAGGCTTTGTATCCATCATTCATATGCACTATAGTAGATGGAAGAATGAATATATCCATTTTTCTGCTTGTAACTGATATTACTGCGCTTTTTTCATCTTCCTCATTCCACTTCTTACTTTGTGGAGTTTTGGTTCGCATAGTTTTTCATTTTGTTAATTTTTCGAAATATTTAATAAGTGAGTCGAGTAATATGGAATACTATTTATTCCATGATTGCCGCCTATATTACTCCGGATGATGAATAGTTGAAAAAATACAATAAATCTAAAATGAGCGTTATCTCTAGATTGGACCTTTGATAATCATTCATCTACTCGACAAAAACAATAATATAAAATAAAATCACCTCCAAATGTGTTTGAAATATGAATTTAATAAATTCACCTGAAAATTTCGAGACCATCGGAATTTCATCAACTATCAAAATTGTCAGAAACGATAGTTACCTATAGACTTAATACACTTGTGCATCGAATATCAACTTTCAGACTGATATTCGATGGCTTGTGGAAGAACTATGAACTCAATATGGAATGATATTATATCAAATTGAAATAAATGGCGCTTGTAGTTTTGTCCAAAATAGGGTATTCCATATTACCAGATATATTCCATAATCACCGACATTACCTAATATCATACAAAACAATAAAGTTTCGAATTCGCTCGAAAATAGGTGCGTGACAATTTTTCCAAAAACACAATAACTTCCTGGTAGACCCTGCATATGATGAAATATGGATGCCATTAATACTTTTATAACGTATTTATATAATCGAGGTCGTTTCAGTGGATTTGGTTAGGAAAACTATTGTTGACATTCACATGCCGAGCAACATCAGCAACCGCATGCAACTTCAATCACTTTCCAAAAAAGAAACATCCAACTATGGTCTAGCCACAGAATGTCAGAAGCCACCTAACCGAATCACCAAGCCACAGAAATAAGTCACTTCAGCCAATTTTCTGAAGAAAAAGTGAATTTAGGTCGAGTAATGTCAGCGTTAGTTGATGTTAGGTGGCTCCTGAATAGTTTTACAATATAAACATCCATGGCTGAGTAAAAAAACCAACTCACCGACATCCTCCTGCCGGTAGTTCTGTATCAACTCGGCCAGTTCCATATCGCCGGCGATCACCGCCACCTGACAAGGCGTCTGATTGGCGAAGTTGAGCGCATGAGGGTCTGCGCCGCGGAACAGCAATTGTCTTGCGCAGGCTTCTTGACCGTTCACCGCGCAGACGTGGAGGGGGGTGTTGCCCGAAGCGTTGCGTGCGTTCATGTCTGCGCCGTAGAAAAGGAGGTGTTCGAGGTGGGACAGCAAACCGTTTTTGCATGCCTGGAAAGAGAAATGGTGGTAGGATAATTTATTTTGATACGTCACTAAACTAAACTGCTCAGCACATGAAAAGTAAAATCGCATTTTTTTGATCAAATTTGAATCATCATAACTTCCTCAACCGATTTTCGATTATTTTTCAGTTTCTGTAAGCTCGTTTCATTGACTATTGAACCTATGGATATGACTATCTCATCTTTTCCAGATGAGATTCTACACGATGATCATCAAAGCTGTGCATTATTTCAAAAATTTCAATCGCCTCCCGTTTGAAAGAAAACATCTTTCTATTTTTTTTGGGGTCAAAAATATATTGCTTCATTTTTGGAATTGGCACACGCGTTACTGAAATATGAATGTTTTATTTAGATAATGCATAATTTGATGCTCTAATTTCTATTGACTTTGTGTTCCTGTCAATCTGGTTCGAACGGTGGTCGACAATCTTGAGATGATGCATGATCAACCTATTCTTATATACAGGGTGGTCCTCAAACAACAATAATTATGACATCAAGTAATAAAGAAATCTTGTTTTGACGAGCAAGAAAATTTCGGAGGAAAGGGATTGAGAAGTTTTCTGGCGATCAAAGCGTGTAGGAGAGGTTGTTATCACCATGTCAAGTTGCTACCAGAATCTATTGCAAGATCAAACCACTGGAATTGTTAGAAAAACTGGATTTTCAGTTGCTGCCAAGACATACCATGCAACTGACAGAATTCATCACGATTGCAGTAGAATAATGATGAGTATCAGAATGTGATTTCATTTGCGGTGAACGTCTTCACAAAGGACGTAATTGAATATTTGTCGAAATTCAAATGCATACGTGAGTCACATGGATATGTAATGAACAGTATCCTGACTTAAAAATTTTCTTGCTCGTCAAAACAAGATATTTTTTATTACTTGATGTCATAATTGTTGTTTCAGGACCACCCTGTACATAAGAATGGGTTGATCATGCATCAATTCAAGATTTCGACCACCGTTCGAAACAGATTGACAGGAACACAAAGCCAATAGAAATTAGAGCATCAAATTATGCATTATCTTAATAAAACATTCATATTTCAGTAACGCAGGTGACAATTCCAAAAGTATGTTCACAGTATCGAGAAAACATATGAAGCAGTATGTTTCTGACCCCATGGATAATGAAATTTTTTTCTTTCAAACGGGAGGCGTTTGAAATTTTTGGAAAAATGCACAGCTTTGATTATCATCCTGTAGAATCTCATCCGGAAAAGATGAAATAGTCATATCCATAGGTTCGATAGTCAATGAAACAAGCTTTCAGAAACTGAAAAATAATTGGAAATTGATTGAGGAAATCGAGAGTTATGATGATTAAAATTAGATCGAAAAGATGCGATTTTACGTTTCATGTGCTGAGCAGTTTAGTATGGAAATTGAGTATCAGAAATAATAGAATTTTTTAGCAGAAATGAATTGTTTTAGGAACACTATTCGGAGATATATAAGTGGAATCAAAAAACTATTATTGAGTTTATAAAACTATACACTCTCGCCGGAGAAAAAAATCAGGCCAGCAAAAATGTTTGCGAAATTTCAGTACTTGTCCGAATTTGGTGAAATTTCAATCAGCTCGTAGATTCATGTTTAGAAATGTTAACCTGAATTTCAGTTCCCAAAAAAAGGTTATGACTTTTGGTTGTTATACAGGGAAAACCAAAAATTATATTTTCACGCTCAACTCCTTAACGCCCTTTGGTAAAACCTTTTCTGTCTGTTGAGTGTCATCAAAATGCCACTCTCAATGTCATTAGGAGGAAATATAAGTATTTGTTTTACTAGGCAGAAAAGCACAAGATTTAATGCCGCGGCTGGCTTTCATAGCCAAAGCGTAGCCGAGGCTACGAAACCAGCCATCTGAAACTCAATTTTGATTATCAATGTAACAAACTTTTTTTGCCTAGGCTGGGGAAGTACACCTCAACTGCCTGTCAAGTGTCATAGAAAAGCCACTTTCAATATCATTTGGAGAAAATAGTTATTCGTTTTACTAGGTAGCAAAGTAGTAGATTGACTGCGGCGACAGATAGCATAGCCAAGCGTAGCAAGGCTAGGAATTCAGCCAAGGTTGTGAATCTACTTTGCTGCCATGTGAAACATAATATTTTCTCCAAATGTTATGGAATCAACTTTGTGTATTTTTTTATTGGAAACTCCATCATTTTGTGTTCACCCAATGTCAGCGTCAATTTTGATTACCAATTTCATTAAAATAATTTAGAACGTTGTGAAGCAACAAACTTTTCCTCCGATTGGCAGCAAATATTAATTTTGCTGACACATATCAATCAGCAAAGTATTACTTTTCCTGCCTAGGCAGCAAAGTGAGTACTTTGCTGCCTAGGCAGCAAAGTGGTTACTTTGCTGATTGATATGTATCAGCAAAATTAATAATCCATAAATCGTTTATAATTTCCTTCATATTTCATCCGAGACTTCTCCGGCAACAAATTCAACTCTATATTTTTTGCCACCTCCCTCATTTCTGAAGGTGTAAATTCTTCCAGGTCGCTATCACTGTCCATTATATAATAATTTAAATATACCGATATTTTTTCGCACAACTGTCAAAAATTTCATGAATTGTCAAACTATAATTATTATGGACATTTCCATAGCAACAAACCATTCCAACAACTGCGATTTCTATCAAATTTTATTTTAATTGAACACTACAGGAAAAATAAAGAGATATATCATTATGAACAATCGGAGAAAAAATTATATGTTCAACTCGGCGGCAAAGTAGATTGACTGCCTTAGCTGGATTCCTAGCCTCGCTACGCTCGTCTATGAATTCAGCCTCGGCAGTCAATCTACTACTTTGCTGCCTAGTTAAACAAATAACTATTTTCTGCCTGTCAAGTGACATATAAGAGCCACTTTCTATGCCGTTTGGAGGAAATAGTACTCTTGTTTTATTAGGATCAAATGTGACATTTTCTTTGACAAGCAATATTTGCGATTCCGAGGCGGAGCGACCGCGAAGCCGAGCTCGCAAATTTTGCGAGTCAAACAGTCACTTTTGATCAGAATGAAACATGCGATCGAAATAATTGATATCCAATTAATAGAATATAAGTTAAGTTACCACTATTTTGAGCCGCTTGAGCATGTCAGTGTCAAAGCAACTATCATATCAGCTGTCATCCGATACGTTTTTAGTTCCTAGGAGTTAAACTTCTTAAACTTTTCACCCAATACTGTAGTAATCTCCTCTGAAGTGAAACAATTTATCATACTTTCATGAATCAAAATGAATGATTCAAACAACGAAATGTTTGGGAGTCGTTTAGACTTGCACTTAGATAGGTTATTCAACCTAAACTAACCTTCAACCTAACCAATGTTGTTTTCTGTTTTGATTTCCTTTAAATGGTCCTCGTTACGTTGAAGCACTGAATAATTCCCTTAAGTTATTATAAAAATCAGAATCAGTATCAACGCCCTCTATGCAGTATGTATTTCAAACAGAAGGATCCAAAATTAAAAATAAACTTGATTATATAAGTCGAATTATTTATATCTGAGAAATCGATCTCGGCAGCCTGAGCTGGTTTATCCGATAAATAATCTAAACGTACTTGAAATTGTAGATACCTACCCAATAATTGATATTATCTAATAAAATATGTTTATCTGTAACATAATTATGGACCATGGCGCATAATGATTACTAATTTATAAGTGCCTGAATATTATAATAATCGAATGTTGATAACTACTTATATGTATAAATACCTACATTGAGAAAATCATCATATCTAATTCATGATATGATCTTCAGCAACAATAAGATTGAAGAGTGATGAAGTGACACATTCTGGTATGAAAAAATCCAATCATGAGTTGGTAAACTATAAAATGTCACTCTCGATTTCACCTAATCGATGCAAAACGCACTATCATCGTTTGAAGGGTTCAGGTCAATGGCTTTTTATTTAATCAATCGACCAATCGATGAAAATATGATTTTGAATTGACTTGGCCGTTATTTGTTGGAAATCTATGGCAAATGAAAAAACTTCACAAATGATAAGATTTCCACGAAATTCTCAAACACACAGATGTTTCACTAACACAGTAGCTTCATCAGGTGATATACTGGTACAATGAACCTGATGAATGTACTGTGTTAGCGAATCATGTATGTGTGTTTAAGAATTTTGTGGAAATCTTATCGTTTGTGAAGTTATTACATTAAAAATATAATTTATTGTCCCAAGATATATGTCATAGACAAAGTATTCATACGGGGTCGTCCGGAACTCTCTAAAGAGAGGTGATGTAAAATGAGGATCTCTTTCTTGAGCGTATCTCCAAAAATGCACCATAACTTGAAAAAATTGATTATTATATATGATTGAAAATACAGAAGTGATTATTTTCAAAGGACCCCGCGCCACTTTTATGGGTTTTTGTGTCCCGGTCAAATCGGCTGGAATTATAGTATGTTGTATTTTGTGATATCCTGATCAAAAGCTCTCATGACTCTATGACTAATTTTCGAGCAACAGCGATTCGAATGTTGGATTGTGTGCCTTTTAGGGTGGTAGAACAGACCTATTTTTCTAAGTGAATTTGTGCCCTATGAGCAAAAAACTTGTTGATAGAATTTCAACCTCGATGAATAATTCGATCAACTGAGATATTGATAACAGGGTGATGTGTAATATCTTGACAATTAATTTTGTTTTGTCATAATCATGAATTTTCGAATATTAAATGAGAAAAACAGAATATTGAGAATTGCAGTTCATTGAATAAATGGAGAAATCGTATGTACAGTCTGTCCAAGAGAAGGTTGAACAGCATGGGGATCTCGAAAACGGTAAGAGATACGAAATTGGTTAAATGGGGAAAAAGTTGCGCATTCGGAGGCTCATATCAAGAGCCTTCGAAAATTTTGAAAATTATTTTTAGTTTTTGAGTTATATCGAAAAAAGTGAATTTTTGGAATTTCTATTTTATTTTTTTTTCTCCGTTATTATTAGAGATACAGCAAAACTGAGAATACTTTTTCATAGCAACTTTTGATGACGGTCAACGTGGTGATACGTATTCGTGGAACCATCATCAACTTTTGTTTTTTAAATACGGTCCTGATAATTTTTCCACAGATTCTAAAAGGTTTTTTTATTCTGAATTCAACCATGTATTATACAAGGTGGTTCATTTGTGTTTCGACCTATTTTTGGCCATCATCAATGTTTTTTCGAAACTCCAAAGGAAAAATGCCATCAGTTCCACTCATTTTGAAGGAAAATTAGTCAACACACTAATACCTCATCAACTGGTTGCAATCAACAACCCATTTCATTTTGCAGAAACAAAAATTCCATGTAGCTCGAAAACTAGTCATAGGATTGAGTTGAGCCCATGAGAGTTTTTGATCAGGATATCACAAACTACAACATACTATAATTCCATTCGATTTGACCGGGACTCAAAAACCTATAAGAGCGGTGCGGGTTCCTTTGGCGAAGTGCTTTTCTATGTGAACCCGTGTCACAGTACATCATATTATTCTTTTTTAAAGAGATATAAGTAGCATGACGAAAATCAATAGTCGGCTGAACTACTCTTATTACATTTTGAAGCATTCGTGTGGTCGTGTGGTCGTGCATCAGTCTCCGCGAAGGCAGCGTTCACGTTCAAAGTCATCGTGTGATAAAGCGGCGTTAACCCTTCGTTGTCGTTGTAATTCGGCGACCCGTCCAACTCCAGCAGCGTCCTTAGCGCCTCTTATTGTTTTGATTTATTGTATACTTTTATATCTGAATAACACCGAAACAATTCAAGGGGTGTTTCCTTGTGACATTCTAGAAATAAAATTCATACAAACATGTATCCAAACTGGCTCCGTTTGTGAGATACAGGATGTTGAAGTTGGAAGTATAAATTGTTTTCATTTATAACCACCCTGTATAAGCGTTCATGGTGCCAAAATTGAGTATGGATGGAGACTGAGAAAGCCACAAAATTTCAAAATGATTGTAATCATTGTTATTGAGTAATCACAATGAAAGTCTTGAAAACACCTACATTACAATTTGAATTTTTATTGTCTCCTCAAAAACTGAAGTAGATACAAAAATCACACAGAGGATAAAGAAGTTGTTACTTATTTTAATAGTTCAATCTAATAAAAATATGAAACTCGGAAAAACCGGTGGTGTACAATGACATTCAGTTCAGTGGAAATATTATTTCGAATCTAATTGCACTATAGAAAATGCTCCATAGTACTATCAATAAAACCACAACGTTTTATTGAAATTGATGAAGACAATTATTGAGAAATGAATAGAAGAAAGATTTTTCACGGAAATATTAATACCCTGTATCTCGAAAACGAAGCAAGTTAGGACTCATGTTTTTATGAACTTTATTTCCTAAAATATCACAAGGAATCAAACCTTGAATTTTTTTGGTGTTATTTAGATACACCCATACGATCCTCTTTCGCGATTTCATTAATTCATTCGTGTTTCACGTTTAGGATAATTGGTATATACTTCAAATGATTCAAGTATGTCCATTTAGTTGTATCTATTGTTAATCAGTCTGAGACTCCCAGAGCTCGGTACATCCAGTTCATGACCGTTTACAAGAGGTTTTTTTGATTGAACGCGTATCTGAATTCCCAATTCATTTCTCTTGCTTGAAATACCATATTTCAAGATGAATAAGGTGGGAGCGAATGGGGATTTACCCTATCAGTGAAGACGGGCATATATTTGAGCTTCAATAGGGTAGGTCTTGCATATATTTCCAAAATCAGAAGTTCACTAACTTCCTCTTCACTCGAACTTATTTTGAAGACTGAAGTCATATTGTAGTGCGGAGCTTAATAAAAACACATCAGAATGTTCACGACGCTGACGCTCTGGGACGATTTCAGAACGCGACGCCCAATGAACGCTCTCACTCTGAACGCTGAACGTTTGTATGTGAATACACAAGTTGAGGTTTTTCATCGACGCGATGCTGCAATAATGCTACCTCTTTGAATAAGCCTCAGGCTCCGCTAGACGCTCCCACAATGAATGAGCTTTACCTGATGCAGCTCCTGCTTCCCTGAGCGTCCTGAACCCCAGTGGTCACGTGGTCGTGCAGCAGCGTCTCAGCGAAGCTCGCGTCCACGTTCAAGGTCATCGTGTAGTAAAGCGGCGTCAGCCCCTTGTTGTCCCTGTAATGCGGCGACGCGCCTAGCTTTACCAGCGTCTCCAGCGCCTCTTATTGTTTTGACTTATTGAATTTTGTATATACGATCATCTTGCGCGATTTCATTAATCCGTGTTAGACGTTTGGGATTGTTGGTAAATACTCTCAAATTATGCAAGTGGGTCTAGTTATATCTATTGTTATTCAGTCTGAAGTATCTTCGGTGAGATTCTTACAGAGTGTACGCCACGAGAGCACTCAATTTATCTATCTTGCTTGAAATATCATATTATTCAAAAAGAATAAGAAGAAAGCGCATTATTGGCACTTATCCTATTAGTGAAGACTAGTATATTACGTAAGAAACCTATTACGTAGGTACGAATGGAGTGCGTAAATTGCTTTACAAAATGCATTACGTACTATACTTTACCTACTGCCATAAAGTACATCAAAAAAGTTTGGACAAGCAGTCTGAATTATAATTCTTGGCAGTTATGTCATCCACTGTTGACGGCGATTACGCGATCATGACATACCTATACTGGCGGAATAAACTAAAACTGTGCGATGTGCTTACTGTGCGTAAAGAACTACTCACTGAGGCTCTACCTCGTGTGTTCTTGCCTACTCTCGATAGTGGCCGTAGGTAAAGACATATATTTGGGGGTGGGTCTCTGAGATTTTCATTATTATAACTATATAGCTAATTTCATGTTGTGTAGGGCATGTTTTTCTGGAATCAGAAGTTCACATACTCTTCATTCGATCTCATTTTGGAGATTAAATTCATATTGTATAGTGCGGCGCTACAAGAAGACAATTCAGAATGTTTACGACGTTGACGCTCTGGGACGCTTGAACGCAAAGCAGAGTAAACGTTCTTACTCTGGACGTTTGTATTTGAATACAAAAGTTGATTTTTTCCATCAACGTTTTGCTAAACCATAGTTTCCACTATGATTGGGTCTTACCTGATGCACCTCCTGCCATCCCTGAGCGTCCTGAGCCCCAGTAGTCGCGTGGTCGTGCAGCAGCGTCTCCGCGAAGGCCGCGTCCACGTTCAAGGTCATCGTGTAGTAAAGCGGCGTCAGCCCCTTGTTGTCCCTGTAATTCGGCGACGCCCCCAATTCCAGCAGCGTCCTGAGCGCCTCGATGCTCTTGTGCTCGACCGCAAGGTGCAGGGCGGTCGAGCCGTCTCGTTTCCGGTAGTCCAGCAGGGCGCCGCCGTTGACAAGGCTCATCAGGGTTTTGGCGGGGTTCTTGATACCGGTGGCGATCGTCAGGGGAGTTTCTGGAATGAAAATTTGCGCGATGAAGACGAAGTTGTCTACAGTCTTTCATATAAAGTAGGCATCATAATCATCATATTGTTATGTTATTCGGGTGCAGAAGCGAGCACGACACTATTTATTTCCGAACTGATTCATTTGAACTGAAGGAACACTAATTTATATCGAACTTATAACTACAATCTATGTAAAACGTTTATATCACGCGGTATATGACTGTCTCTCTGACACTCGCTGCTTGACTGACTGACAGCAGTTGTCCGGCCGTCCTTATATATGAGATTCCTTGGTAGGCTTTGCTTCTCAAACGTTCCCGAATGATCCTCCGTACCCTTCTTTTTGTTTTAGAAGCTTCTTAGAACAATACCTCTCTCTATAATTGTTCCATCGATTGTTTCCAGATCATTCCAGAATCTTCTGTCACGTTATTTGTCACCGCGAGATATATTGAGTGTTCGGAAATAGGATGTTCGTTGTACTTCTTCCTTCCTGCTGATGACTCACAGAAATGTCCAAATGGGCAGAATCATCGGAAAAATGCATCATTCTGAATGAATATTCATAACACGATTATCAAAGCTCTGGATTTGAAAATTCCGAAAATCAAGAGAATAGATACAGTTGAGAAAAAAGATATGAACAATTATCTGTTTAAACGGTAAGGTGAAGACCACGATTTTACACCCATTCGAATATCACCCTGTAGCAATGTTATCTGAAATTACAGAAGTTTTATATTGCCATAACAATCAGTCAAGAGATTAGGCTGATCATCGGTGAACCGATTTCAAATTGGTAAGGAAATTCGTGAGTTATTCTACTTTAAATTCAGGCTATGAATAGTCAGTTGAATTGTTGAATTTCACAGAGTGTACAATGGGCGTGTACACCTTAGTTGACCTTTTAACTCAAACCATGTTTATAATGATCCTTTTAAACATAAATGATCGAAAAATTAACTGGAATATTTTATTTTTGGGCATAAATAATAGTGCCTTCTGAAAACGGACCCTCTTATGACGTAGAAACCTCATCTCGCCATAGTTAAAAGAAAATACCAAACGCCCGACGGAGACTGAGGCAACTGATATATTAATTCTTTCAACTGTGATCTCGCCCCCGATCTCGCGCTAATTCACTCTGTTAATCATGTATCATTCATCTCTCTCTGGAATAGCCTTGTTTCAATATTAGGGTTTTGACGTCACATCATCGCCTCGTTTTCAGAGGTCCGAAAAATCGGGGATTTCAATAATTTTTTATAAAACGTAGTGAGCTCACAGCAAGAAACGGTTTGCGGTGGTGAGCTAGTTTGGGTGAGTTCTATCGAATTATGAAATAAAATTTTTTTGTGATATAAGCCCATTATTTATTGTACATGGTATTACTGGAAGAACTAATTTATTGTATTTCTTGGGAGTAGTTATGTAATACAAAATACCAATGGACAAGAGCTTTGCATCCTTTCTTCAATATACAATACATATATCCTATTATGATTTTCGTTATCTATGCCAACGAGTCAAACTATTTACATGGAAAATGTTGCCATCCACAATGCTTATGAAATTATAGTAGATAATGTTAATCTGTGATAATACATTGAGAAAAGCTAGGCATAGAAATAATATCGACGAAAACAACCTCTTCAGAAGTTCAACTCAGCTAATAAGAGATTATTTGTGAAATTCATTCACGAATAATTTGAATGGAATTTTTAAATCGCAAAGACGGAACGGAACGTAGCTATCACTGCAAACAATAACATTCCATAGTCTTCTAGACCTATAGGCAACCCTTGAGATGAAATTGATACTAATGACAAAATCAGGTATTTATGAGAATTGTAATAACTGTAACATGAAATATACGAGATTTCAGGAATATATTGCTCACTCCAGATATAAAATGGGTTATTGCGGTTTTTTAAATAGGTATATTTTGTATTTGAATTGTGATGGAATTATAAATGAGGATGAATGTTTCATTCCAATAAGTGTCAGGTTAACACCTCTCATTATCTCCTGGAGATGCTAACATACATGCGACTTGATTAGAGAAACACACGTAGAGTATGAGTCAACATAGTACCTGGTATGAAGTATTATTTACTTACCACCAGTTTCTTGGCAGTGAAAGTTCGGATCTAGACCCTTGCCACACATTTTCGATATTTTTTCCACTTGGCCGTTATGCACGAAGTCGAGAAAACGTCTCAGATTTGCCCTCGTGTGAAGACTCTTCAACTGTTTCTCATCTAACGTCATCATCTTGTAGACCCTTTTCTTGTACTTCAACTGAAAGGAATGGGAACATTATTAAATTTCCTATACTTGTTGAAAAATTCTATTCAAATATCACATAAAACCTGCGAACGTATTTTGATATTTTTATATTCACTCTCTAAAATCAATTAACAGTTAATATTAATAGTTAATCAATTAATCTACATTGAGAATCAGTATCGAAAAATGGTTATCATCTGAGTAGATGAAAGCCATGAGCTAGTAGAATCCTATACTTCATCTACAGCTATTCAAATACCGAATCAAATTCGATACCTCATGAAAATGTCTTTGAAAATCAAATATAGGTATATTCTTATATTGAATATTGCTGCATCTAATGAGAGGTCTAAGTTCCGTCAAAAATGTATTGGGAAATATATAACTAGAATTGAAATATCAGAGGTAAACATGATGGACGATGATAGATTTAATTTTTATTGATAAGAGAAAAAAGTCGTACGAGCGTATCAGTCAGTCGTATTAGATATTATGCTATTTCAAAAAAAAAAGAAGATGCGTATATCTATGCACCATAAATTTGCAGTTTTTCAGAACATTGTTGGTGGCCGCTAGTGTCTGTCCAGCCAATACTTTTGTTCGGTCCACACCTCTCGATCCACACATACAGTGTTATCCATAAGTTCATAACATATAGGAAAAATATTATCAGAGTATCGAAATGTTTTTTCTGATAACATAAAAACTGATTTTAACTCATGTCACTGGTGATCACTGATATGAAGAGACAGATGAGCATGACGAGCCAAAATAAAGCAGCAAGCTGGAGTGTATCTCGAAAACTCGATTGATTATTGGGGAAACTCTTCGAAATAATTAAAGATATTTTAAAAGTTTCCACAATAATGGAAGAATTCAATTTTCTGATGGGAACTTCATATGTTTGTTCCAAATAGCTATTTTCTTGTCAGCATGAAAATGAAAATCAATGACTTTTAGTCACATCCAAGGTCACATCTGAAGATAATTCTTAAAAAAATGTAGTTACAAATCTGTTTATGAAAAAATTCCACACCAGTACTTCACAATCATCCGGGGGTGAGTCCTCTCCCCTCTGCTGTGGTCACTGCTCGTGGATGATCTGCTGGACATTCTCTCGATCTGGGAGGTCGATCTGCAAGCATATGCTGACGATCTGGTCCTAGTAATACGCGATAAATCCAAATAGACGATCACCTACGTCCTTCAGGATATATTGAACACCATATATAAATGGTGTGAGGAGGAGGAAATTTCCATTAACCCTCACAAAATGGTCATAGTACCGTTCACCAGGAAAAGGAAGCTGGAAAATTCTAGACCTCCTTACATCAATGGAGTAACAATTCCTTTTGCGAGGGAAGCAAAATATTTGGAAATAACCCTAGATAAAAAGCTGAATTGGGACTCGCACCTGGAAAAGACTATCCGAAAAGCTAGCCTATCATTATGGACAAGCTGAAGAATATGTGGTAAAACGTGGGGCATGTCACCAACACAAGTAAACTGGCTGTACGTGACCGTCATACGACCAATAAACACGTATGGCTCTGTAGCCTCTCAGGGGCTCACGACTTGTGAGTACGGGAATGGCAATCCCGAGGTACCCTAGCCGCGGATACTCATTAATCTTCAACTTGTGTTTGATGGTATCCTCTTCACTCTTTAGTTTCCAATCTTTTTCTTCATCGGCCTCCCTTGGTCACTTCTCCTCTTTTCCTTCTCCCCTAAAGCCCAACCTCACCATAGTGCGGGGAGGACAAGCCGCGAGTGCTCGGCAGATTGAGCATTTTGGGAACATCTTTGCTGTCATCACTCAGATGGGACAGTTTTGTGGACATCTGAGTGCGAGGATGGGGCAATTTGTGAACATCTGCTTATGTGGCCGCGGATTGATAACGAGGCTCTGGCAATCCCCTCAGGGGCTCACAACTTGTGAGTACGGGAAGGGTGAGCCCGAGGTACCCTAGCCGGATATTCACCATACTTCAACTTGTCTTGGGTGATATCCTCTTCTCTCTTTCGTTTTCAATCTTTCTATCGGCCTTTCTTGGCCAACTTCTCTTTTCCTCTTTCTCTCCAAGCCCAACCTCACCATCAAGTGGTGTGGGGAAGGCAGGCCGCGGCCGCTTGACAGATGAAGCATTTTGGGACCATCTTTGCTATCTTCTGCCAGATGGGACAATTTGTGGACATCTGTGGCAGGGATGGGGCGATTTGCTGATGTCTGTCTAGGTGGTCGAGGACTGGTCAACGAGGCTCTGGCAACCTAATCCAAGTTGTGGGAACCCGTGGCGATGGATGGATGGCACCAAGGAATGGTGTCGCTAACGGGGCCTCTGAGAAACAGGGCGACATCCCAGAGTAAACAGCCTTAGCCCTGTGCAGGGGGCACCACAGGGCTGGACCAACCCCTCCCCCGTCACTCGTAGGAAAAGGAAAGCTTTTGGCCTTCTTCGTAGAGAACAGGGATCGGAATAGCAATATTCAGGGACCTGAACGAGAAGGGTCTTTCATATTGAAGTGGCCCTTAATAGGCACCATGAGTCGTATGTGTTAAAATTGATAACAGCATGTAGGTGAGATACAATGGGCCAATAGGCCTAACAGCCTACAACGGGGTGGAGTGTTTATTGGGTATACCATGGAGGGGACTCCCACACTATCATATGGGGGATTGGACCCATATGATGTCTTTAAAAGATTTCAACCACCTCGGCGAGAAAAAGAATAAGAAAAAAGGCTCTGTAACCTGGTTGAGCAAAGGCCAACAAAAAATGGCCCAGGCTAAACTTAACGGACTACAGAGACAAGCTTGTCTGGAGATTACAGGGGCCATTCGCTCTACGCCAACGGCAGCAATGTAAGCCCTTCTAGGATTACTTCCTCGCCACATAATGCTGGAGAGAGAAGCAATATGGGCAACATACAGACTCCATCAAGCGGCCATTAGTCTACCGCAGACAGTGGTCATGAAAAGCAGCAAAATGCTAGAGGGTATAGTATCTCATAACATTCTGGGAATGCCCTCAGACATTATGCCTAAAACTACCAACCTTCACACGTCCTACACTGTGGTCTTTCCTGAAAGAGAAGAATGGGTTCGGAATGAAACGAACCTATGTAGGGTAAATGAATGTTGGTACACCGATGGCTCTGAAACTTTGGAAGGCGTCGGAGCCGGAATATACGGGATGAACCCAGTAGTGAAACGCTCATTCAGTATGAGTAAACTAGCTACGATATTCCAGGCTGAGGTATACGCCATTGAAATGTGTGCAAGTGAACTGGAAAATCGACACCACACACAAAAAACAATAAAGATATTCTCAGATAGTCAAGCAGCACTGAAAATACCAAATTCCAACTGCTTCAAATAATCCAGAGCAGTATGGAACTGCAGAGAAACCTTAAACCGTTCACTGGACCAGAACACATAATCGGTATAGCACATAGAACGGCAAAGAATGTTGTAACATCATGGGCCTTCAACATAAAACTCGAGTTGTAGTGACCCAGAGTTGATATAATATGTAAAATTGATATAATATACAGGGTGTTTCAGTTTTTTGTAGCAGGACTTCAACAGCTTGAAGGAGACATTTTTTTAAGATGAAAATCTCATACAAACATATATGCGTGGGAGCTGCGTTTCCGATTCACAGGGTGTCAAACTTTTAGATTTTTTTTTATGTTTTTTGAATTTTCTCCTTCAATTTTCGGAATAATTGATTGAAATTTGGTACACCTAATACACTTCAAAAACTCAATATTTGAGGCTATTGAGCGTTCTTGAATACCTACAGGGTGATAGACTTTCAGGGGTCGTAACCAATTTAACCCTGTAGAACTTTTTTGCGTGCCGCCTCTGCTTTCAATGGGACATAGATTCAGATTGTCTCTGCAGTTTCGAATTTTTTTGCCCCCATGTATGTTTTTCGAAAACTGTATGGATTTCGAGATAAATAAAAGTGGAATCCGAACCACTTCTAAGGGTACTGATAAAATTAGAACTGCCGTTCACGAGATTGAATTTTCAAAACTTACAACACCTCATCAACCGTCAGAAGCGGCAGTCTAGTGATGTATAGCGCCTAGACCGTGTATCATACAGTCCCTGATTTCAGATTTTGCAATCCAGTTAGAGAAGTTTTCTTAAAATAAAAACATTTTTTCTTTGTTTTTCCTAGTTTCCATTATAATGGTGTTCAAAGAATTCAATCTAATTTTGCATCTGTATTTCATTTGGTATGGAAGCTTTCGGTCATTCTATTTTCCAATAAAATATAAAATGTTTGAGAAATGTCAAATAAGTGTGTTTGAGAAATAACGGTTTTATTACAAGTAATTTATTTATGGCATTTATCTCGAGATCCATACAGTTTTCGAAAAATGTACATGAGGGCAAAAAGTTTCCAAATTGAAAGGACAATCTGAATCTACGGCCCATTGAAAGCAGAAACGGCACGCAAAAAAGTTCTACAGGGTTAAATTGGGTACGACACCTGAAATTCTATCACCCTGTAGGTATTCAAGAACGCTCAATAGCCTCAAATATTAAGTTTTTGAAGTGTATTAGGTGTACCCAATTTCAATCAATTATTCCGAAAATTGTAGGAGAAAATTCAAAAAACATAAAAAAAATCTGAAACTTTGACACCCTGTAAATCGGAAACGAAGCTTCTACGTATATATGTTTGTATGAGATTTTCATCTTGAAAAAATGTCTTCTTCAATCTGTTGAAGTTCTGCTACAAAAAACTGAAACACCCTGTATAACTGGTATACATTAGGTAGGAATTAAGAATTTGAGAAGCCGAAAATGCGAAGTAAACTAAATTCGTTCGTGAACCTATGTATGAAAATAAAATGAAATGAATTCTATAATTATTTAACTTTCATACACAATCTGGTGTGGAGTTTTCTCACCGAATACCACACGAGGTTGACTTATTTCCGGAAATGTTTTCGAGCTCATGAGCGAACTAAATTAACCTCCCTATTATTACAAG